CTGTTATTTGTCAGCATGTGTTTCGTGACTAATACAATGTTTGTCTCGACGCAGTTCCTTCAGCGATCATATCACTCTTTCTGCAATAAGTTTGCATCAGGAATCATGTTAATATGGGATGAAGGTATATACTTAGATTCGAAATCTGCCTCCATGGAAAGAAATTGTTATTTACTTCACAAACACTTGATCTAAGCAAAGTTCCTAGTTGCTGTATTTCATTTACATTGTTGTGGATTAAGAACTACTGTTGCATCCTAAAATGCGAGTATCTACAACCAGAATACAGTTTTATTCCTCAGAAACTTGGCATTGTCGATTAGCAGTAGTTCTACAGTTCCAGTATTTATGATGTTATTGCATTTCTGTCCCAGTGATGCCGTGATCAGGTTAGCTACGTTCGTTCTCTAGTGAACAGGACCACGTTGCCAGTTTTAATGCTGCGAAGAGGATGACATGCCGTAACAGTTGTATACATGGTTGGAGGAAAAGCCGAATCATTTAGCTGATCACAAGCGACTTGAACTGCACTGCTCAGAGCTCCTAGCTATAATCCTGCCTCCAAGATATAAAAAGCAAAGTATGTTGATTAGACACTGAGATCAAATTTTTGTTACCATCAATCAACGAACAAAATTAAGCTTGCAAAAGCATGCATGTTAGTATACCTGTAAAGATTAATGCTTATTTCATTTTGAATGAGACTCCTGGAATAGTTTCTGATGCATTGTGTACTAGTTCAAGTCACGGTGTAGTATTTAGTCTCTTTCTCTTCTCACTCAGTTATAATGAAGAATTAGACTACCTTATATTATCTTTGATTCAACCCCTTGTATACATATGAATCTAAATATATCAGCTTAAGAAGATCTGGAAATAAACTAATTCCATCAACTTAATTCTCAACAAATGGGATGAAAGAGGACTTATATTGGATTGTTGTAGGAATAATGGAAGACAGAATAGGCAAAAAGGAAAAGAAAATTTGCCATCCACAATCAAAGGCGGAAGAAATGCATGCGTTTGTCTGTCCCAACAATAGGGAAGAAAAATAAAAAAAAAAGTACCAAAAGTATATTTGATTGCAGAAACATCCCTTTTCAATGTTTGTTGCTGAAATCAAATGATGATGTATATACATTGAAGATACTCTCTGAGCCTGCTCGGCAACAGCATCAGCTGTGTTCAACTTTCACAGTTTTCATCATCATTGCTTGTAAAATAAAGCCTCCCCAAAGCTAGCACTCCCACTTTTGAGTAGCTTGATTGATTTTATGCACACGATTGCCTACTTTGAATCTGGGACTGTTTTCTTTTTTTTTTTGGATGATTAATCTTATGAGCTTTTCCTTTTGTCCCTTCTTCATGATTTAAGCAACCAAACATGAGTTGAAATGGCTATCAATAAATAGGTATCCTATGATCATTGATGTTACAATGGTAGGTAGGTTCAGTAGGGTACAAGAATAAGGAATGTTAGAACAGGAATTATCCTAAGAATTAATTCAAGGATTGCGTAACAGACGGTCATTTGTAACATGACATGAATCGAAAAGATATTGTATATTTATTGTTGTAAGTAATGTAATTTCAGAATTAGAAAATTGATCGCAAGTTGTGACTACTAACACAAGTTTGTGTAACTTCTTGGTGTTCTATGAATACGAAATGCAATCGGATTTAGACCTTTGATTTGAGAAATTAATTGCTCAATTGACCATTCCAAGAAAAAAAAGCAAGAACCATTTCAGGCAAATGGTAAAGTTATGTATGTTGCTACTTCTGTGAGGAGCATCAATGATGATACTGAGACTCAGAACCATACAGACTGCCCTTGTGTTTAGGCAAAAGTGCACAAGCTACTTTCTTTGGTGTTATAAAATACTCTCTCCGTTCTACAAAAATAGTCTACATTGAATTTTTAGTTTTGTACTGTTTTTAGTACAAATTTAAAAACTCAAAGTGGACTATTTTTGTGCGATGGAGGTAGTACATAATTTTTAATTAAGTGAGATAAGTGTGTTTTATTTGAACTATAATCTCACAAAAGATAACATGATTCATAGATAACCATGATTTGTGTTATTTCATAGATAACCAAGTTTCTCCGTATCTTTCCTTTTCTCATTAAAAATTAGAGGAACCCTTCTTTTGTTGTAGTTTTAGAATAAAGCATGCATCTTTGGAGGAAGGCCTAATCATCAGGATTAGAAGAATAAAAGAAAACGTAACATAAGGGCCTTGTGTTGAGTGGCAATGGAATCCATATTTAACTAGATTTCGGATGTTTGAAGCATGTTGTTGACATAAGTAACCTTTGGGATTAGTCATTGTTGCACCATAAAATTATTAATTAAAAAAAGGGGAAAAAAAAACCCCTCAATTGGTAGATATTAAAAAAAAAGAAAGGAACTTTGCACTTTGCAGGTAGAAAAGACGATAAATCTACTTACTAATTACTAGTAATTAGTACTAATAGACTAATAGTGTGACTACCTTCTGTTATTGGAAACGAATATTTGCCTTTCTGTTTTATCACTACCATTATTATTATTCATTCAGCAAATCTTCCATTCACATTCTTCCTCAAGCAGAAAATGATTTGTTTAAGCAAAGGTTCTTCTTAGTTGCAACCATTTAGGTCTAAGGTTTGCTTCCTGAGGACAAATATATCTTTTACATTCCATGTTCTAACTTCTATTGATGATTGTTCAGATTAGGTCTCCTAAAATCTTATCATAATTTTAAAAGAAAGAGTCTTTGAAAAGAAATTCTGTGGTGGGTTACTGGTTTTTCCAAAAGTTTTTGTATAGTTAGTGCTTAGTGGCCATGTTCTTGGTGGTAGTGGTCCAAAAAATTGTCATCTCTATCAAGCTTTGTCATCTTTTCCTTCTTCCTTCAAAATCCCAATTCAATGAAAAAGACTCTTTTTGCCTAAAATTAACTGATTGCATGGTTTAGGGGGGTTGATTTTGATGGGATAATTGAGGGTTGAGAATGAATGTAAAGGTGTGATATGGTAAGAATCATTGTCCTTTTTGGCTTTCTTTAATTTATTCATCTTTTTCCACTGTTCTTTTCTCCCATCCAAAAGAAAAAGATGAAGCCACTTTTTGCTGAAAATGCTTAAATAGTAAAAGAGGTTTTCTGGATAAATTTTTTCGTTTTGTTCTTTTCTACAGGTGCCCTTTTGCTGTTACATGTGCCTTAATACATTTATCATATTCAGAAAGAAGCACAAAAACCTTCCAAACTTAGAATTTATGCGTCCACCATTGTTGGATATGATCCTACTTCATTAAATTCCTCAAATTAAGCAGTAACCTTCTTTTTCAAACACCCCTTTTATTTTTCTGAGGTGATCACTCTGTTTTCTGTTTTGCTTCCTAAAGAAAAGGGCCTAAAATTCACCCTCTGGCGAGCTTAGCTTAGTTATATTTTTTTGTTCTCAAAATTCTTACTTTTCTGAAGAATTTTGATTTGCCTCATCTCTTAATTTATCATGAGGGAGTGGAATAAATCAAAGTTTGGATCTTTTTTGCTTTTCTCAATTGGTGTTTGCCAATGGAGATGAATTGATCATTGGTGAAAGCATACTGTTGATGAAGGAAAACATTTTCATGAGGGTTTTATTCTGCAAGATCCACTGTCCATTCATATGCTTCTGCAAACCTTCTGCTGCTGCTGCTGCTCATCTTTATGCTTCTGGCCCATTAAAATTGGAAAATACCCCACAACAGGCTGCCCCTTCCAGAGTTGTTTCTATTTCTGACAGCTCAGATCAGTCATTTGGCAAAACATCTGAGGATAAAGAAGGGAGTATTGATGGTAAGGATAATGCCAACAATGTTCTTAGAAGCTGTATTAGGAAGGTCCCCACTACAGTTACAGTACCTCCTGATTGTGTAAAAGAGTCTGAAAAGAAGAGAGTACAATGGGTTGATAATTTGGGTCAAGAACTTGCCGAGATAAAGGAATTTGAGTCCAGGTAATAACTTAAACTTCCTTTTCCTTGAGTTGGTTTGTTGATTTAACTTTATGCGAAGTTCTTGATCAATTGTGTTTTCAGAGACCAGTTGTGTTTTCACTTGCTTATTCAAATTGTATTTTCGCTTCAAGCTAGGCTTTAGATAAAACCTGGTTTATATGGCCTTAAAAACTGGATGTAGAGATTTTAAAGAAGGGTGACTTCACCCATGTAATGCGAATTCATACACCAGGTAGTTGAAAATATTGACTAACAGAGAATGTTGACCTGATCTCAATGATAAGAACTGATAATAGGAGTTCCTACAGGTTGGATTTCGAATTCCATATATATATGTATATTACTGAATGAAAGTTATTAACTCTGCTTTGGAATCTTCTGGTAATTGTATTATATATTGCTAGAGTGCCAACGCGTATTTGATTCACCAGTTTAGTATAACCTACAATATTGCTTAATCTTATTTTGCTTTGTATGGTTTTTAAAAGAAACATAAATACACAGTTTGTTCCAACAAATTCGATATACACAGTTTAAAAGAGACTTTGTATTTTTTTCGACTTGGGTGCTGCAATGGCGGATTAACCTTAGTTTTAATGACTCTCTTCGACTCTATTCACACGAAATGAGAACAAAATATGCATAGGGCCTTCAAGTGAATTGTTAGCTTTTGGTCCGATTAAACAAACTGGAAAGCAGTACCTGACAATCTCTGCATCTTTCTAGCTTAAGTTTTCACACAAATGATTTTTTGAGTGACACATACAGGGTGTTTATTGTGTGCTGCTGATTTGCAGTGAGACCGAAGACACCGATTTTGAGGAGGATAACAGATCTGGCTGTGTTTGTACCATTCTTTGATGAACACTTAACAACTTTCTCAGTGCAACTTCAATGGGGATGCAGCTGTAGGATCATTGATAAAGAGAGATCATGTGATACGGTTGTTGAATGATGATCACCCAAGTAAAGTTCAAGGGAACTGAACCTGCTGCTCTACAACAAGATCTAGGTCGTTTTTTCATCTGCTGCCATTGGCACAGGACTCAGTGATGAAAAGTCTGATTGATTAATCAGTGAATCAGATTTTTTTTTCTAATTTTCTTTTCTTCTACATGTGTTTCCATAAGATCATCCATGGTTTTCTTCGCAATGATTATAATCTGTTACATAATCCTTAGTTCTAGTATAAGTTGTAAACTGCCTCATTTTCTCTATTTAATCAATATTCCATTAATGTCATGTTTCTCACTTTTCGTTTTAGGGTAAAGGGAAATTATTGAATGTTTTCATCTTTTCATTTCATTGCTTCAAACTGATACATTTACTATGCTCTCTCAAGAAATGTGAGCATGAACCTCTTTTATGTCTGTCGGGTTTCTGAGAATGAGTCTCTTCCTTCCTTTTTATTCTGTGTAGATTTCAACCTATACTAAGATGCTGAACAGGCAGTTCAGTTTGTAGGTTGCCGATGAAGTTTGCTCTTAAGTTATCGTATTAGGTCTGAATCGCCATCATAGATAGCAAAACGCTACTGTTGTGAAAGGCTAGGTTGATTGAAGAGCTATGGCATGCTATTGATAGCTACTTCGTCGAAAGGATGATCATATCAGATCCTATCAAAACAAAGCTCATTCCAGAAATAACACCAGCAAAAGCTCATTGCAGATAGGCAGCAACTTCTGATTAGGTATGTTGTTATCAAAAACCAGATTGCCTGTTATATGGTTGTGATTTCAGAGATTTTGCTTAGCATATATGCTTATTTCTTTATTTACACAAATGCATTGGAAAAGATCCCTGCGACAGTTATATGCTGCATGTTTCAACCTCTCATGTAAGAAGACCAAGGAGATGATTTAGGCTTAAAAGGAATAGAATTCTGCTCTACTGTAAATCAGTTCAGTGTACCACTAGCAGCTGGATGTATGGCAACTGAAAACGCCCGTGGACTGCTACTCCTAGGTTTTCGAATTCAGGACTTGCTCCCTGGAGCTCGACTTTCTGGTTCTTTAATTGGGCAATGTCTCTGTGAACCTGATCTACGCCTTTTAATGAAAACTTTCTCCAAGGATCTTTCCAAATGCAATATTACATTCAGAAAAATGCTAATTAGATTCCATTACTTCTATATATATGAAGTGAAATATCCATTTGGCTGTAACTACAATATTGAGGCTGAGCTTCCAGTTGAAGTTTCTCCTTATGCTTTACTATTTAGTATTTACATGCATCCATCACATTATCTAGGATTCTATATGGATCTAGTCCTACTAGGGGTAGGCTTTCTCTGGAGGCTGCTGCCACGAGTTGGGGCAAAGGCCCTTGATGGAAACCAACCACATACAAATATGATAAAAACCGTAATGCAAAACCCAACTGGGAATCCAGCCCAGGCTCCTTCCCATGAAAACCTTGACTCTGTTATCTCATTTTGTTGTGCAGTCGGCGAAGATGATGTCTCTACTGGACAAGGGAACCGTATTTGCAGCCCACATAACCCACTGTTGTTAGCAAAATCTTTTGGATCGTTCATTCTATCCATTTGGCCACCAGAGGGGATTGGACCTTTCAGGTAATTGTTGCTGACATCCAAAGTTGTGAGTTGTTGCAACTTTTCAAATGATTGTGGGATTGCACCGGAGAGATCATTGTGTGACATGTCTAAGCTTTCCAAATTCTCTAGGTTACCAAAGCTGTATGGTATTTCTCCCGACAAACTATTAAAGGATACGTTCAGTAATTTTAAGCCTTTGAGATCACCTAATGAAGCTGGAATTTCGCCTGAAAGTTGGTTCTTTGACAGGTCCAGCAAAGAGTATATATCAATACTTGGATTAGATGACAGCGCTTGAACTGATCTCTTCCAGTTTATGATTAACTCAGTATACTGAATTGAGAAAGTGAAGACATCAGGAATGGATGCAATTTTAGTGGGAGTGTCAATCATCCCAGTGAGTTTGCCTAGTTCATTTGGAATGCTTCCTGTGAGCTGATTACTCGACAGATCAAGAATTCGAAGATCATTGAGTTTGGATATAGTGGTTGGTATAGGACCTTGGAGGGATGTGTTTCGCAGGATCAATATCTGAAGTGTTGAAATTTCAGTTATGGAATTTGGAAATGCCCCTCCAATCCTATTGTCATGGATATCAAGGTGTTCAAGTTTACTCAAGTTGGTAAGGTTCTGAGGCAAGTCTCCAGAGAATTTGTTGTTTCCTAAAGCCAAAATTCTGGTTTCTTCAGAGAAGGTCACCGGAATTTCACCTGAAAATTCATTAGATGACAGATCCACATATCCAAGCAAAGGACCAAATGCCGGAAAGGTGTTACCAGAAAACCTGTTTTTTGATAGGTCCAAGAGGAGAAGGCGGTAAATATTAGAGATGGAGCTAGGGATCGGCCCAAAGAAGTTGTTTCCAGCCAACATAAGAACCATGATTGCCCTAGCATCACCAATATTTTTCGGTAACTCGCCTGAGAAATTGTTACGTGACAGATCTAGGATTGATAAGCTCAAGGATTGAAAGAGACGAGGAGGGAGAGAACCTGTAAGGTTGTTTTCCGAGAGAATAATGGTTCCGAGGTCAATCTCTGCTAGCCAAAGTGGAAAAGTTCCATTAAGCTCGTTCTTGCTCAAATCCAAGTAAACAAGAGATTTCTGTGATGAAATCCACTGGGGGACTTCGCCTTTTAAACCACATGATTGTAGTGAGAGCTGGGATAGCATAAACTTAGGTACTATTCTGGAGTTATTGTTATTCCAGGTCAATGCATTCCCTCCAAGAAGCAAAATATTGAGGGTGTGAATGTTGAACAGCCAAGATGGTATTTCTCCCTCAAGCAAGTTGTCTTCAAGGATGAGGCTTTCCAACTTTGTTAGATTCTGTAACAACGAGGTAATTCCACCTGTGAACTTATTTTTGCTCAAAGCCAAAGTAGAAAGGTTAGACAAGCGCCCAATTTCTGTCGGAATCTGCTGTGAAAATTGATTATCTTTCAAATCCAGAACTTGAATTTGTGTCAAGTTGAACAATGACAATGGGATTCCACCAGAGAAGCCATTGCTGCCAAGTGTAAATTCACGCAACATCGTCAGGTTTCCAATCTCGTCAGGGATATTTCCACTAAGAGAGTTGCTGTCCAACTTCAATGTGGTGAGGCCTCTTAGATTTCCTACTTCAGGACTCAAGAAACCCGAAAACAAATTACCACTCAGGTCGAGATAGCTGAGGTATCTCAAGTGATAAATTTGCACGGGAATGGTGCCACTGAAGTTGTTCTGCATCATGTCAAGATGCACCAATCTGGTGAGATTAGCCAGGCCCTGAGCAGGGATTTCACCCTGAAGACTATTTGAAGAGATGTCAAGCAGCATCAATGAGGTAATACGAAAAATGGGAGCCAAAACTGATGAAGAAACCACCACAGGCTGTTCCGAAGCATACTGTGATACTAGAGAATCCAGCTGCAGCTGAACCACCATGAATGGCCGTCTTGTAGAGCATATTACTCTATCCCATTTGCAACAATCTGAACCCGAATTCCATGATTCTAATAATCCAGAAGTGGAGGTTTCAGCTGATGAAGAAGTGTTAGTATTTGTAGCATTGAGCAAGATTGACTTAAACTCAAGAAGGGATTGCTTTTGATACACAGGACAAGATGATGAGGAGGAGAAAGATAGAAGGAAGAAGCTCAAGAATGCCAAGAGCAGGAGGCATTGTCTGAACCTGGTAGCCATGAGCATGGTTTACTTGCTTTGGTTAAGCTTGTGGGTACCAGGTCTTTAATAAAGAGAATGACACAAGAACCTAGTACTAGAATTGATGTGCAGATGTAGAAAGAATGAGAAAAGATAGTCAATTTCAATGGTGGTAATGGGATTAATCCATTGACTTTGATGGATAGATAATGATGCTCATTGATCGCAATCTCAATGGGAGTTTGCTGTCCTCAATCTAGTCAACTGATGAGTGGGGATGTGGTTGAGTCTTTGTGACAGTATTTCAGGACATTGACTTTGACTTTGTAGATATTTTGTCACTCTTTTAATTTGAATTGTTTCAATGAGATTTGAACCCGACCTCGTGATAATAACAATTTTAGCTATTAAACTTCTTAATTTGAACTCAATCTCGTGATAATAACAATCTTACCTACTTAATCATCTCATTGAACCCTCTCACTACTTGACTTTGGGTATATGAAATTGTGGTGAATCTTCCACTCTTTACGAAATGTTTTTGTGATTGACAAGAAATATTTACTTCATTCAATCATTTTCCTTACATTCAAAGTGTCAATGGTTTCATATTTGTTAGTCAATTCTAAGCATTGACTAATGAAGCCTGCAGAATCAGCCTGCTGATTTGATGCCGGCAAAGGGACCAAATTTCCCAAACTTTTCTTCGTATTTGCATCTTTCTGTGTTCTAAACGTAAAAACTAAAAAATTAAAAAAAAAAAAACAAAAAATCTAACGGCAACATCACACGCATAATTGCAAAGTTGACACTATTGTTGGCAGAATCTTGATTATGACCAAGTTCTGTTGTTCCGCTCAGATTTCAGTTTTCACTTAAACTGAAAAACGTGAATGGTGAACTTTCTGTTTCGGTGAAAATAATTAGTAGAACCAATACACGCTTGCAAACATTATCAAATGAAAGTGTGTAATTCGTGAGATGCTATGTTCAACTAAGTGTGAAGGAATAAAGATAAAGAATTGGTAAATAACTTGGAATAAAGCTTGAATATGAACTGAATTGATGACTTAAACGAAATGCAAAAGTAAATCAAATAAAGAGTTGCGAAAAATAGATGAAAATAATAATAGGGTGCTAAAAGATAAAGAAAAGTTTCAAAGCTTGTTTATATGTGTGTTGATGATGATGAGTTGTGTGTTATTCGCCTCTCCTTTTCTCTTTATATAGAGCTCGGTAGTCCCTTGTGTTGGTGGGATCTCCGATTCCTAGTGCAATTCGGTATTGCCGATTTTAGAGTTATTTCCGATTTCTATGTCATCTTGCAATCATACTTCGAATCGGATTTGGCTTCTCCTTATGTCCCCGTGGGCTTTTGACGCGTTTCCAATACCCGAATCGAGAATGGATCTTGTTCTTTATCGGATGTGGACCTTCTTTGAAATTGGACCGATTCACCACTTTTGTTGGGTCGACTCGATTTTAAATAAAATCAGTGGTAACATAAAGCCCTCCTAAGGTACAGCTCATTTTTCTGAATGTGGTGTGTCTTGAACATCCATCGGGCCAACAATGAATTGGCTTGTTAAAAAAATCTGGTGCAACGTCCATTAGCCCGAGCGAAAAATCAGTGTTGGTGTATAGTGGCCCCCCCAGTCAAAGGCGGAAGGTGAACAACGGCTTTGACTGTTTGAAATCGAAACGAAACAGCCATTAACATCCATTGCCCAACAACGAAACGGCCAAGGTTTGACAATAAACTGCATTGGAGCAGTTGGCACACGTGGAATATCCCCATGCTTCTGACAATCGAAACAACCACGGGCAAAAGGGCAAAAGATATGCAATCTTACGTCATAGATGGCCAAAAGTAACCATGATGGCTAATAAGCCAAGCCATCTTTCCTCCTCCTTGATGAGCTCCACAAGTACCTTCATACGTCTCTAACATGATAACAGTGGATTCTGGGCGATTAAGACATTTAAGCAAAATTTCATCGGTTCTCTTCCGATACAGGTTACCATCTAATACAATCTATTGAGTAGCCCTACGCCGAGTTTGGATATCCGTTGGGACGTCAGAATTTTGAAGGAATGCCAGGATAGGTTGTCGCCAATCAGCAAGATCGACCTGTGGTTGAATAACGTTAACTGGCACAGATGCTTGTTCCTGCTAAGCAGGGTAATCAAGTTCCACCGTATCATACTGCCAAGAAGGGTCCACCTCTAGAATATAATCTCACGCAGATTGTGCCATAGTATTGGCTTCTTTATTATCAGGGCGCGGCACATTGGTGAAGGTGATTTTGTCAAAATAAGATTGAAGTTCATCGCTAAGAGCTGCATACTGAGAAAGAATGTCATCAACATGTGACCCACCACAAGTGCAGAATCGCCAATGACATCAACATGTTTAGCACCATTGTCGATCAAAGTATGAAGACCATAGATTAAGCTCTCATATTCTGCTTGGTTATTTGTGACACGGAAGTTCAGACGAATGCGAATTCGCAACACTTTCCCAAGTGGCGAATACAGAACGACTCCAGCACCACATTTGTGAAACGTAGCGGAACCATCAAAATAGAGCCTCCAAGGTGTGGACGGTATGATATCCAGATGAAAAGTGGCAACCTCGATTTCAGACAGATCACCAACAGATGGATGCGCAGACAGGAAATCCGCTAATGCTTGTCCTTTAATAGAAGATTGTGGCACATGTTGAAATTGGAACTCCATAAGGCCGAGAATCCATTTGCCAATCCTGCCACTCATATTGGGACGGTTAACCATATAATGGACCAGATTAACTTTGCTGATGACGTAAACTAATGTGGGTAACATGTAATGGCGCAATTTAGTAACGGCAAAATAAAGTGCCAAGCATAACTTCTCGATGGCGGGATAATTTTGCTCTATAACAGTTAACATCCGACTTAGGTAATAAACTGCCCGTTCAAAACCATCAGTGTCGTCTTGTGCTAAAAAAACAACCCAACGAATCATCTGTGGCAGATATATAGAATTTCAATGGACATCCAGCTACTGGTGCCACCATCACAGGTGTATGACTTAGAGCATGTTTAATGGAGTCGAAAGCTTATTGGTGCTCTGTTTCCTAAACAAATCTGTAGCAGATTGTAACTTTAGCAATGGAGAAAAACTTTGATCTTGGCGGATAAATTCGCTACAAACCGGCGAAGGAAGTTAATTTTCCCAATGAGACTCTGCAACTCTTTCTTGTTTTGTGGTGGACGTGCTTCTAGGATAGCTTTAGCCTTCTCACTATCAACCTCAATGCCCCGAGAATTAACCAGGAAACCAAGGAAAGCTCCGGATGTGACACTGAAAGCACACTTAAGAGGATTAAGCTTCAACTTGTAACGCCGCATCCGTTCAAGGTAAGAAGAGAAATGGCGAAGATGATCCGTAAAAGAATGTGATTTCATAACTACATCATCAATGTAGACTTCTAATACATCGCCAATCAAGTCGTGAAAGATGCAATTCATTGGCCGCTGGTAGGTAGCTCCAGCATTCTTAAGACCAAACGGCATAACTGTCCACTGAAATATTCCTAGTGCACCTGGAACGCGAAATGCCGTCTTTGAAACATCCTCATGGGCAATGTAAATTTGATTGTACCCAGCATTACCGTCGACAAAACTGAAGATTTCATAACCCACCAATCTGTCAACTAGAGTTTTGGCAATTGGCATCTGATATTCATCTTTTTGGGAATGCAAGATTGAGATTACGGAAATCGGTGCAAACCCTTATTTCCCCGTTCTTCTTGATGACTGGTACCACATTGGACAACCATTCCACGTAGGTTGCGACTTCGATGAAATCCACAGCAAGCAAACACTGTATCTCTTCTTTCACTTTACCAACCACATCCTCTGAGAAACGTCGCGGAGGCTGCTTGAAAGGTTTGAATCCGGGTCTAAGAGGAATTGTATGCTCCACCAATTTTTGATCTAAACCTAGCATCTCAGTGTAATCCCAAGCAAAACAATCGCGAAAGGATTTTAACAATGCAGTAAGTTATTGTTTCCCATTATTACACAAGGAAGCACTGATGAATGTAGGTTTGGCAACTGTGCCATCTCCCAAATTGATAGTAATGACAGGATCCTTAGTTGCCATAGAACTATCCTCCAATTTGCTGGCAGCCACCATTAACTCATTAAGTTCAATAACATCACTATCCGTGGTCGGATCAACCTCATATATGACATCTTCCCAATTGACTTCTGGATGTTCTGCCTTGAACCGGCGTTCATCTTCAAAGAATTGCAACATGCGTTGAATCACGTCTCTCTTCTTAATAGCCTGTGCTAATTCAAATTCCAAGGAGGCATCATCCATGACTGATAGTTGTTCAATTGTCTTCATCAATAACTTCTTCAATTAGCGGTTGTGTCGATGGCGGAAGCAGCTTGTAATTCTACGGCCTGTTGACCTCTTGCCACAACATCTTCCATTCAGGAAGGGTACAATCGCAACGCATAGTGGCCTGCATTGGCCTACCATACTTGTTGATCCCTAACATCCTGTAAGGACCGACGTCTTTGTCATGGTAACAAGCTTCGACAGAATTAGTCTGATTTGTAAATGATGCCGTATCAGCAGTGACAATTTCTGGCACATTACATCCCCATAGGATGATAGCTTGATGTAGTGAAGACGGCATACAATGGGCTGAGTGTATCCAATCGCGGCAGAGGAGAGCATTGTAACATGCTTTAGTGTCAACCACAAAGAAAGCTGAAATTATAGATTGAGAACCCACAGTAACTTCTAATGGTAAAATCTCTCGAGTGCTAGTTACGTCACCGGTGAAACCGCTAACAAATTTCTCTGTTGGAACCAGATCTTTCATTTGCTTCCCTAACTTGCGCATTGCTGAGAATGGGAGAACATTGATGGCAGCACCATTATCCACCAAAACCCGTTTGAGAGGCACTCCATCCATTGTGGCACAAATGAACAATGGTCGAATGTGAGTAGTGGCTATGTCTGTTGGCTGTGTTAGCAATACTATAGGTGATTGCCCAGATCTTTTGACAATCAGAATACCACTTCTATCTGCAGGCTCAGAAAGAATTGCTGGAGGCACTGGAGTATCATCAAAAGTGTCAGTCATCTCAATGCCAACAGGAGATGATGGTGATTCACAAATCAGTGTGTCGGACGTAGAACAGAATGTCTGTGGCAACACATAAACCATGTTAACTGACGGGTTATGGTCCGCTACTTTGCGCCAGTATTGTTTCATCAATGGACGAGTGTGTTTCTTTGGCGGTGGACTAACGGACATATGGTGTTGCCGTTTTGCTTGGATGTCTTGATAATAACCCGCTCTTAACCGCTGCCACCGTCGCTTTTGAGTACGAGTAAGACCCGTTGCTGCTAAAGGAACAGCAGGATATTTTTTATGTTGATTGTGATGCCAACGATTGTCATCAACTACCCTGGGCTTTACCATTCTAGGACGACGCACTGGTGACGGAGTTTTCTGCTTGGATAACCTGTCACATACGGAAGTATCGGTAGAGCCTGATGACCTTCTAGAAGGCGGTTGATATTCTCACTCTTTAGCAGGCCGAGGCAAGTTAGTCACAGGTAATGGAGAAACTTGTGGCGGTATAGAAACCTGAATTCCTGTCGCTGGTAAATCTGTGTTAAAAATTTGCGAAGGTGGAGCCGGTACAGGATGATAAATATGTGGATGCTGTAGTAGATGACTTTGTAAAATTTCACTAGGTGCTGGCTTGTGAACCCAGGTCTGTGGTCTTCCATCTACCATAATAGTAACTTCTTGTTGCACTACCGGTTGATGATAATGGCCGCCAAATCATTGCCCTAATTCGGTCAATTGATGTTTGAATCCATCGAGAACTGTATCACACTGTAAACAACCTATAGTATTCCCCACCACAGGTATGTGACTATTCAAACGAACAATAACCATTCGAACCGGGTGTTCTGTCGGAAACGAATTGACGTTCATTTCAACAGGATCATCTACCTTGATCTTCCCTTCATCAATCATCTTCTGCAAATAATTCCGGAACACCACACAATCGTTGGTAGTGTGCGTCCAAGAGATATGATATTTGCAATACGTCTTGCCAGCTATTTCTGACGGCTTTGGTGGTCTATATCCTTTTTGATACTGTACATGGCCTGCTTTCATCATGTCATCAAAAATTTCTTCTCGTTGAGTGATGTCGAAAGAGTAGACCTTAGCCGTAGTGGAATCGGAAGCTCTACCGGTTCCTGTGGGATTGGTATTCTGAGAGTAAGCTTGTGATGTGACAGGTCTCCGTAAAGCTTCACACGTATAATCCTTGAGGTTAACAATCTCCGCTGCATTAACGCTATCCCAAGGACGGTCCTCTTCATCGGATGATCCCCAGGCAACATTATTTACTTATGCAACAGGTTCTTTCTGGAACCAAGACTTGGGCTTTGTTGGCTTGGATTCTCGTTTAGCACGAATGACCTTTTCTGTGTTATGAATCACCTCCATCAACTGCGTCAATGATCTGATTGGATGTGGCGTCACGGCTAATTTCAACTTGAAATCAAGAATACCCGAAATCGCCATTTTACCTACAGTCGATTCTTCATATTTACCAGAAGTGGTTCCTGGAATCTTAGTATGCATTTGACAGAATCTTGTGAGATATGCTTCTGTTGTCTCACCAGGTTTTTGCTCAACTTGTGACAAATCAATGATTGATAACCTGGGTGTTGTACAGTAAAAATTATGAATAAATACTCGCTTCTGAGTGTTCCAATCGGCAATTGATCCTGGTTCAAGAGTGCGGTACCAATCCAAAGCTATCCCCGCCAATGAGTAGGGAAATAATCGCAGCTTTAAGAAGGGATAGTGGCCGGCTTCTTCACATTCTAGTTCAAAACGGCCAATATGATCTTCCGGTCGTTGGTCATCTTCAGCAGTAAACTTCTTGAAATCTGGCATCTTGTAATTCCTTGGCATTGGCTCAAATTCGACATATTCAGGATAAGGTCTTCCCAATACTTCCGGAACTTCCATTCCTAACTCCTTTCGAACCATGTCTTCCATTATAGTCTTGAAACTAGCCTCTGTAGCAAAACCAGGGACATTCCCATCTTCTCGAGTGAAACCTTTTTGTCGGAGATCCCTGTCTTGTTCTTGATAAAGCTGCGCTTCTGGCTGATTTTCTCTTTGCGGGTTCCTAACTTCTCTTCTCCAATTGTTATTCCTAGCCTTTGCTCGATTTTATGCTTGATTTGCCTCATACTCAATCCATTGTTGTTCTTCTTACATCTCCTTCACTGTCGGTACACGCCGTGGCATGATCCTTGGCACCGTTTCTTGCTGTTCACCTTGCTCTGGAATAACAATTCTGGCACCTTGTCTCGGAGTGGATTGTGGTGTCGGTGGATTATTGGTGAGATTTCCTTGCTGATTTCCATATACCACAAACCTCTGATCATTATTTGGCAATGGATTCGCCGTTGGTGGGGTCTTAGCTATTGCTTGTACGTGTTGAGCATTAAAGGGAGTGAGAACGCCTTGTGTTTGTACCCCTTCTTAGTGTTGACCATGAAGATTCTGCCTTGGCAAAGGATTCGGGGGTAGCAAAGGCCTTGGTGGTGGAACTATTCCCCTTAGAGGAACAAACTACCAATCGGCGGTTATCCGGGAGCCCGCGGTGGACATCTCATCACTAGTACTACAGCTGTGGTACCATAGTTACTTGGTGGAACTTGGGGAACTCCAGAATAAGGTAATGGTCTTCCATCGAAAGTAAAGTTTCCCATAGGTGGAATAAAAGCTAGCTGACTTGGCTCAGGACGATAATACCAGCTAGGGCTAGGAATTGTCGTTCCCTCTAACATGTTTCCTGATTGACTTACCCCATTAGTTGTCAATCCTTGCACTGGTGTCAAAGCAGCAGAATACAAAAGATTTTCGTGTGTCAATGCCGTAGATGGATCCAATAGCGGCACTCTCAATGATGCATCAGGGTTACTGGTGGAGGCTCGGTTGTGACACCTCCGTTAAGGTTAACCTTTTGCAGGGATTATTCCAACGCAGCAATTCAGGCTAACATACTTGTAATAGTGTTGTTTTGCTAGCCGATAATAATATGTTCAAGACTCCAGGGTGTGGTATATGTTGATTCCTTAGTACGTCCCCATTGATCTAACCCTAATTGAGCATTCAACCATGCAGCTCCCTGGTGCGCCATTGGATCAATACCTTGGTTGTTTGGGAACTTGTGAGTAATTGGATCCCCTCAGCTCTTGTTCAAGATTCCGATTTACTGGTCGAACCGAAACTTCGGTTGATGGGGGCGGCAGTGTTGGTGTTACACCTGTTTCCATGACTGATCTTGCCGCCTCTGACACTGCTAACCCGGAAGAAGAGACTCCCGTTTGAGCAATACTTGTTGCTGTCGTTGTTGACATCGCTTCACACTTGGTCAATACACGTAAATCAATCCCACCGGGCGTGCCAATTATGTTTGGGTGAAAATAATTAGTAGAACCAATACACGCTTGTAAACAATATCAAACGAAAGTATGTAATTCGTGAGATACTATGTCCGGCTAAGTGTGAAGGAATAAAGATAAAGAATTGGTAAAGAACTTGGAATAAAGCTTGAATATGATTTGAATTGATGACTTAAACGAAATACAAAAGTAAATCGAATAAAGAGTTGCGAAAAATAGATGAAAATAACAATAGGGTGCTAAAAGATAAAGAAAAGCTTCGAAGCTTGTTTTATATGTGTGTTGATGATGATGAGTTGTGTGTTATTCGCCTCTCCTCTTCTCTTTATATAGGGCTCGGTAACCCCTTGTGTCGATGGGATCTCCAATTCCTAGTGCAATTCGGTATTGCCGATTTTAGAGTTATTTCCGATTTCTATGTCATCTTGCAATCATACTTCGAATCGGATTTGGCTTCTCCTTATGTCCCCGTGGGCTTTTGACGCGTTTCCAATACCCGAATCGAGAATGGATCATGTTCTTTATCGGATGTGGACTTTCTTTGAAATTGAGCCGATTCACCACTTTTGTTGGGTTGACTAGATTTTAAATAAAATCGGTGGTAACACTTTCACAGCGAATACCAATCGAAACTGTTTATCAAACGCGTTATCTGGATAGATGTTTTTCACAACTTTATATTTTTTAAATAGAGAATGAGAACTAAAAGGAAAATAATGAAATACACCTTCAGAAAGTAGTCTAATCTCCATAGAATCAGTTCGGTTTGCTTCGAGGAATTAGTGGCATCAGAGCCATATTGTTTTCACAGCCACTGAGAAAAATGGAATTTTAGGTGTAGTTTCATAGGCATAATATTTGTTAAGTTGAAGGTGCGACAATTCTTTTTCCTTAAGCTTAAGTCCAAAGATTGAGACGAAACCATCTTAAAACTTCTAACTCTTTTCATGCCCTTTTAGTTTCCAATATTGTTTTCACTAACATCAAAGAAAAGGAAAAAGCCCAAATGTACTATTCAGAGTGCATCTCAAAGGTGATAAAATGACTACTAGTCTAGAATGTGGATCTATGTCTTCAAATCTTAGGAAGTGATCTGCCATAGAATGTAGCAGAAGACTGCTATAGTGACAGTTTTTACAACCAGCATTTCATCAGGGTGCTGATGAACTACTAAAGTTATATATAAAAGCTGAATCTTGCGAATAATCATCCCTATCCGTTTTGTAAGTTCACAAGAAATAATACTCCCTCCGTCTCAAAGTGATTATCCTAAGGGATTGACGGGGCGCTAATAAATCTCATGCCAAAAAGGGGACAAATTTCTAGGGCAATCAACAAGATAGCTCTTAAGAACCTCTGCTATAAAATAGATCAGCATTAGGTAGGATTTATTAGAGTTTTATTTTGAAACTTATTAGAGCTGTACAATTGGATATGATACGGCCTCACAAAATAAAAGGGCCATATTCAACTCATGTAAAAAGTGTGAAAGAAGTATCAAGTAAAGTAGATCCTTGTCATGAAAAGGCAGAAGGCTTTATCATGAATGGTCCCCAGGCATGCTTAGCTGATATCACTTTACTCACAAGCAGCTTCCATTTTGCCTCATCTTTCCTGCTATGTTGCGGCATTTTCATCTTGAAGTGTCTAAAAATCAACAGGAAAGCGTTAGAAGATGTAGCATGTGATAGAAATCATGAACAAGACTAGGAAACATAACCACCATGACACGAGAAAAAGGTGTTCATTCTCGCAGTTGAATTCTGGGTGCTTGTAAGTTTTAGATGTACGACTATATTCACATGCAAATCGGAATCTGACACTATACACACAATATCTACCAACTACCAAAGTGACGCTTTGGAATCCATATTCGCACTTCAACAATGGAAAAAACAAAAAGGGAATTGAGAAACGAGAAAGGCAAGCCATTCTCACCTACAAAGAGGAACCTTGCAATGATCAGGTTCACTGCACATGCGCGAGTGAAGTTCGAGAAGCTGCCACATTCGCTTACATTGTGAGCATCCACCAGGACGTACTCTTTTGTTGCAGTTAGCAAAGTGACGAACTAAAGTTTCAATTCCTTTGCAAGCAGGAAAGTTACAGGAAACTTGGCTCCCTTTCAGAACTTTGTCACGAGGCCCAATCGTCCTGCATCCTTCCTTGCAAATATGAAGCAATGCTTCCATAGCTTCATACAACTGCAAATAAATCTTTTTCTCTTCAATTTTCCTCAGCCTCTCTTGTTTTCTCTGTGGCAAACAAGTGCACGAATATCAATCGTTTTGGTTATGATCAGATGCATAAAGATTTGTAACTGATCTTAGCAATCCACCTTAAAATAAATAAATTAAAAAAAAAAAGAGAACAAATTTGACAGCCCAAGAATATATATCTAAGTAAAACAGCAGGGAGCCAGTGCAAAGTCAAGACGGTATTTTCCAAATCAGAACACAGTAACTACATTGTGTATTCGAAGGTGAGTGGCTACTGTATTTAGATGTTCAACAATAAACTTATCCGGCTATTAATTACAGAGCAAGAAGAAAACTATCTTACAGAATCTGCTTCCACAACTGACTCCAATAGTTCCTGTTCAAGTCTAGGATTGGCACGCCTCATCACTTTCCATCCTTCAGTTAATGATATCGTCTTGAAATCTTTAACAATCATGCGCAAACAGGCAATGGATAGTCTAGGTGCATCACAATCTCTTGCAAGCTGAAACACGTCTATTACATTTTCCGTGTTTAACCACTGCTCCTCCAAAAGTTTTACACAAACTTTTTTGAGAGATGGCACTGAATATGAATGTGATAAAACCAGTAAGTGGAGAACGAATTTCTTCATCTCTCCATCATCATAGCTGATAAGATGCAAAACCGAGAGAACAATTCAGAATTTTCAGTTTAACAGACAAAGGAACATATTATTGCTACTAGCCACAATTAAGTCACATTTCAGACAACAGTAGACCGCCATGATGAGACAAACTTGACACAAAATGATATGGAAAAGTCGAGAAATTTGTTCTCTTAAACCGATCTCGTCTCTTTCTGTACCATCTGCTCTTTTTAAGACAGCATGATGGTGTCTTAACATGCCAAATCTTTGGGTAAATTTTGTCACAATCTCCAATGAAGACTACACTTATCAAAGTAAGCAATCTGTACGAGGAAAAGATCATTTCGACCTGCTCATTTCTGCTGCTTACACAAGCACAATTCTGTTTGTCTTTTAGTGCTGTGGGCAGCTGTCTTGATAAGTTCATTCTTAAAATCTTGGTTAACAGTTAACAAAAGTAAAAGATCCGATGTAAGTTGCAAGGTGTGAAGATTCAGAATTTCAGACACGCACAAAATGGCCATCCACTTTTTGTTCGGCAGAATGAACAAGAAAACAAAAAGCATTCTATGAAACAAGGTTGTATTACAATCTTTATCATTAACAATGCCACTGACTATTGTTATAGGGGATTCTAGATTAAGAAATTCCCGTTTATGGTCATGAGTACCCTATATGGTCAAACTTTAAGTTAACATTCTACACCATCTTGGCAAAACTCGAGAAAGAGATTGGCAGTGTTTAATTATTTCTTTAAGGACACAAGAAACTAATCATGTGATCAAAAATCAATATTTATTATCAACAATATATGGGTACACTAAACAACACATTGAAAGGTAGACGAAAATGAATTAGAAAGCAACATACCAGGATGAATAAAGGAACCGTACAAAAACATATATGGCATCATAAGGTACCCCAGGAATCTTTATGTATCTTATACCATTCCTTGGTTTGGATTGCTGCAAAAAGTTCCTCAGCACTGGCGATGCAACACACTACATCAAAGGGGAGAAGTGAACTCATATCAGCTAGTGCAGAACAAAAAAAAAGGAAATTTGTTCTCATCACAAGCCAGATCAAATAAATAGCACAAACAATCAACAAACAGGTATTTCAAATTTGGTTCTGAACACAATTTCATTGGATCAAATACCTACCAAAACACTGTAATGAGCAGGAATTATGGATTTGTTCTCTGTTATAATCTGCACATCTGCCGCATGCCCTTCTTTGAAAAGTGTGTCCCATAAACCCATGGTTTCTTTCGGAATGCTGCATGAACCAGGAAGACATCTCTGAATCTTGGTTGTTTTACTGGTTTTAGTTGGAAGAGGAGGAGGCTTCGGAATATTGCGGCTAGAATGTTCAACAGGCTTCCAGTTGTCTAGAGCTTCTAAAGTATCAGTGGGGTCAACTTCTTCTATGTGTATATTTAGTGAATCATCGAAGGACTCACTGGATGTGCATATCCAAGGTGTGTCAATATCCAACGAAGCCATAAGGTATTACTGTACTACGAATCCTGCAGAAGTAAGTATACAGAAATGAGACCAAGCTGAAACAATAATATGCATGATAATTGTTGACAGATCTAGAAACTGTAAATTGCCTATAAGTTTCAAGTTAAGTATGGCAAATAAAACTTGTGCTTTCTTCTCTCTGAAACAAGTCTGACATGAAAGGATGACGTTGAAGGCCTTTAAAATTATCAGGGAGTTGAACACTTCAGGTAAACTGAATTGAGGGGGAGGAAAGTATTCTTCTGATAGAAGCATGAAGATTCTTTGCCTAATTACCTCAACTCATGGCCATTCACAAGCCAAAAAAGGGCCTAAATCAAAGATGCGTTCCAAGAAAACACAACACAACACAGAATCTGAAATCCAAACAAGTAACAAAGGCAAAGAGCAGAGGAAAGGCCATCCCAACCGCAATTTGTAATTGCAGCTTCCAGAAAGTTAATTGCGATGAATTAAAAATTCACAACCTAGGCATTTGTATATATGCAACAAGAAACCTCTTATATATTCTATTGAGACACCAAAACTTCGAGACAGAGTCTTCATTGGTTGGTAACCCAGTACATAGACACATTAGGGAGAAACAAAGTTAAGGATCTTTCCAACATCACAGTTACCACATTTTCGAAACATAACCCTTTCCATGTAGTTTGATCATCAGATATGTTGGGGACAATCCATACATCAAGATTTAATTTTTACCATATTCCAAACGTGATTAGTGTATAATTGATTCATTAAACGATCTGCACATCAACAGAATCCCAGCAGAAGATTACCAACCAACGTCTACATGTTGTAATATACATACGAATATGATCATCCACACAACTTTACTAAACAACTCATCCCTAAACATGATCCCATACCTGCAGATAACCAATCGCCTGAAAAAGTTTCTGAGAGTTGTGTTATGTCTTATTGTCACCAACAGTACCAATAGAAAGCAAAATTCTTCCTTGAAGTGCGATCAGAGAAAACCTGTAAACAAACATTAAATTGAAAAAAATCAGTGAATTGAGAACATTTCAACCATATCAACAGAAACTAAGCCTTGAAAGAATAAAGAGCCAGAAAACAACTTGAAAACCCGAATAAAAAAAAACACATGAAGAAGGTAACTGAATACCACGGAATTAGGAAACAACAACATTAAAAAATCAAAAGGGTGTTAAAAACCCATACCCCAGATTCCAGAATGACATAAAAGAAACAAATTTTCAACAAACATGTGGATTAACTGAATTCTGCAAGTGGGCTTTGTAGAACAAGGCGAACTAATAAGTGATGAAAATTTTTCAAATAGTAAGAGTTTAGAGCAAAAAGTGGAGGGGTGTGGGGACTTGACTTGGAGATACAAATGGAGATGGAATTCATGGAAGTGAAGTGTTGGGCGGAAAAGGGTAGGCAAACATGGGACATTTTGTTTGTTTTGGACATTTATGATTTATGAATAAGCTTCCATCATCATTTTCCTCCTCCATGGTGTTCTTGTCTTTTTCCCTCTATCTTCTGTGCACCTTGTATATTAGGAGGATTAATTACTTTCATTTATATTGTAATTTATTATTTGTTCTTCCTTTCTGTTTTTGGTTTTCCTTATTGTCCTTTTCAGCTTTTTTTTTTTGCTTTTTTATTTTTCTTTTTTAGTCAATTTCATTTGAGACAATTTGACAAAATTCATAGTGTGTGATTAACATGGTTAATGTGATTGTTTAACTTTGTTAATGATGCATGATTGATAAAAATCTTTGTGACTCTACAATTATTTTTATAATTACTTATTTTTTTAGAAAAAAAAAAAGAAAATCTGTTATGGTTAAAAGCTTTGAAATTAATCTCTCCTTTTTTCACCTTCAATTTTCTTTTATATAATAAATATAATAATTCACTTGAAGAGTTTATAGAACACAAAGAATTATATATTATTTTTTCTTAAAACTGCATAAACCCACTCGTGATAAAATTGGTGCAACTCATTGGAGATTCACTGGAAATTTTATTACCAGGCTAAGACTTTTTCTCTCCTAATCGTGCTTTATCTTATTCATCATGTGTAATTTTCAAAAAACAAAAAAAAAAACAAAAAACAAAAAACACACAAAAAAAAATGTCTTGTATGAACTCTTTAATATATGCAAATAATAAGAATATCACGTGAATGCATCTTTCAACTCTCAAGCATGCATTGAGAACTAAACTACTTCTACATAATGTGATATCAGTTAAAACTTCAAAGAACTTAAATAGCTGTGTCAAAGAACTTAGACTACTCTAATACACAATATAATTAATGATAAATTTGTTTTAATTTCTTAAAAACAAAAAAGAGACAGTATATTTAAGAATACCTTTCCTCAGATAATCCTATTTTTTTAAAAAAAATGCTAATTAACATAGCTAATAATATTTTTATATACAAAAAAGAAAAAAGAAACTAGTAAGTTCAACATGTATCATCATTTTATTTTAAGATTTTTCGATACTCCCCGTCCGTCCAACTAAAAAGAAATCTATTTTATTATAAAACTTTAATTAGTACTACCTCTGACAAATATCAAAACCGAAACTATTTTATTAATATGAAAATTCAATATTTAGATTTTTTTGAGAGTTTGAACTATTAATTAAATTGGGATGAAGGGAAGAGAGTATTAGGCACAATTTAAATTCAAGTTGTTTAACTCTTCCAATACTTTGGAACAACCACATCCAATTAAAGAATCAAATTGTGAGGTATTTTAATGATACACACATAAATAATGTAAATGGGGCAAAACTATAGAGAAGATAAAAGAAACGAACCTTTTTGTTTTCTTGAGGTTATGAAGAAAGCATAAGACGGCAAAAGTATCAGCAAGCAACATGAAAATTAATTGGAAGCACGACAGAAGAAAAACCTAGTAGCTCTAAATATTAATAAATCAATAAAATTGGAGAAGGGAATCAAAAAAAAAAGAAAAGGAAAAAATAATGGATTCACATAAAATAGTCTTCTAATTAGAGAAAGTCATGAATAATAAAAGAAAGATAAATGGAAATTTTCGTAAAGGTCCTATATGACTAGAAGCCGGACAAGTTGAAACAATAATTTTGAATATTAAGTAACATACACTACCAAAATCTTGTGACAGTTAACATGTATGTTAAAATTATTTTTATTCCGTAAATTTATATGATAAGTAATTATCATATAAGAGAAATTATTTACGGATGACTGGCGCTGTAAGTAGTCATAAAATTTCTCGATTTTTTGTGGTTCATTAGTTATTGTGGAAATTTTCTTTTCTCCTTTTGTTATTGGTGAAAACGAAAAAAAGGAAAAAGATCAATAATAATTTTGCTACTCTCCATCCATAATATACATTTGGCTCAGAGGCTACACTCAATAGGACAAAATGACCATTGCTTTTGGTCGGTGATTTTATTATAGTTTTTGTTAGATTTTGTGGCATGTTAGGATGAATAGTATTTGTTTGTATTCCAAGTAACACAATTTAAGAATTTCGGATAATTTTTTCTATCGAATTTTTTACTACAAAATTATTAAGTTTAGTTGATTGAAGCTGTATTGTCTTTCCGAAGAACCAAAAAACAAAAAAAAAATGAAAAAAGATTGAAGTAGTGTTAATAAAAAACAATATTCAACTCAATTCATGCGTTCTACTAATCACCAAAACCATAAAATTTTTCTAGAAACAAAACCGAACAAATTTTCTCCATCTTTTTATTCACTTGTAAAAAAATCATCACCACATTTTTTTTAAGATAAGAAAAATTATTAGTTGTACATCCTTAGGGTCGACTTAGAATTTAATTATAAACTCTTTATTGGGTCTGTCTATACTTTTTTTTCTTTTTTCTTCGGGGGAATTTTCTATGTTTTTCTCCATTTTGTATAAAAAAAAAACAATAAAATGGACGGTAGGTAGGTTAAGAAATAGACAGCCACCTCCATTAGAAGTGAAGTCGGTTAGTCCAACCAATGGAAAAAAAAAAAAAAAGGGTTCGACTACTTTGTGGTCACTTTGAAGTAATGTTTACATATGAAAGCAATTTTTCACCATCACAAACAAAATACCATTCAACCGAACCAAAATAATACACCGCCAATTTGGGAAGAAAAAGAAGATATGAAAGAAAAGGAATTTTACACCAACCCAGAACCTTCTCGGCTCGAAATTTTCGAAATAAATATTTTTTGATAATCTATTTGACAGTAATATTCCCTCATGTCTAATAGTCATATTTTAAGGTTTCTATTAATCCTATTTATTTCAAGTCTTTAAGTCCTTTTTTAAGGTTTCTATTAATCCTCTTTATAAATCAGTTGAAGTCTTAAAGGTTCCATTTACAGTATTATATTTCCAAGTTCACCCCAACTTAAACCAATGAAATTTTTAATTTGATTAGTTCCTTGAAGATTTGGGCAATTTTTAATATGGATAACATAGATAGCTCCCCTAAAAAACAACTAACTAGTTTCTTAATTTTTACAAATTAGTCATTTACGCTTTAAACACATTAATATGTGGTAATATCACGATAGGAATTTGTTATTAGCTTTTTGGAGTAGGTTATTTTTTATTTGAAATGCTATCATAAGTTGAAAATCTATAGGACGGCAAAGAAGAATTTGCAATTTACTAAAGTGGATTTGATTAGATGGCCCTTCAGTCACCGGCCTACAATGATGGATAGATCATCACCGTCGTCGTCATTATCAATGTTACAGACATCAGAGTAGAAGACGACAATGCCGATCACACAATATCAACTGTTCAAAATGTTGCAGATCACAGAAGAATTTTTGGTGTTTGAAGTTATTTCAAACATGCCCTCTGCCTTGATAAACATGACTAGTATCAAAAGATGAACAAAGAACTAGAAGTTTATATATAATATAATATAATTTAAGTTTTCGAGTCTTTCCAATTTCAAAACCCTCTTGAGGAGGAAATGCAAGCGACATGCATTTACATGTTTAAGATCTACAAGTATCATATCATATCTCCCTTTACAACAATGTACCAGAACAAATGCAGCAATTCCAGTTCCAGATCAATTTTCATCGGATCCACAATCTAGCTTTTGGAGAAACAATCCATCTGATTATCAACTATGATCTCAATGAAAAACCTTCGACTTGAAAAGACGATTTATATCATACCACAGCCTGTTTAGGAAATATATAGGGCAGATGATGATAATGCAACCTCACTCTTCTACTAGAAAGATAGGAAAGCCCCTGCAAACACAATTATGTTAAGAATTCAAAAGTTAAGGTACAATAGTGAAGAATAATAATATCCCCGAATTCCCTGTAATATTTTCCATTTACACCCAATCAGCATTTCCTTCCTATTGTTATCTACATTATGGGTAAACAAAAGAGTAGACATTAAAAAACGGTAGGAGGAGAGAGCAATGAAAAACGCTTACTATCAGTATTGAAGAAAACCAATCTCAAGGCAATCACCAAATTTGTATTGGCTCTATACTGACTAAGCCAAATCTCATCACCACTGACTTCTCTCAGTTTATGCAAATATGCTCAATCATAAACAAGAATATGATCACCAAATCGCAGATTTCATAACATGTACCAGATGCTCACTACAAACATTTTTAGAATTTGATTCCTCCTTTGAATAGCAAGCTTTCAAGCATAAAGAATTTGTTTAAAAGATGGGTGGAAGGAATCTCTTCAAGTAATCATACCTAACCTTAAATAAGGATGAGTTTTACACTTCCAACTAGTGAATCTTTTTTGATGTCGAGAATGTTCTGATGAAACACTATGGTAATATATGATTTAAATAGACTATCCTATATAATGTATACTGCGGAAAAGACTTTGTGCTAGCTGGAAACTTATCTTTGTAAGTTCACATTATGTTCTGGTTAGCATAGAAAACCCATCAAAGGGCCACAGCGAATGGCCTTGGATCTAATATGAATTCGCTTAAATACTCATCCGGCGCCCTCTGAGAACCATGAATGAGACTTCCATCTTAATATAACTTGAGCAAAAAAAAATTTGTTTCGACAGAGATAGGTATTGAGCATGCTCGAAACATGAATCAGATAAGTGCGAGAAAACAAAATGTGCCCCAGACAATCAATGTTTTCTGAAACATAACATTGGCATCAAATAGTGTACCGATGTTTTTTCTGGGTGCATATTCTTTCTGTTTCCAAATGAAAAATTTAATGCCGAGCACTCCATTTTTTTTTCTTATTGTCGAGATCAAAAAACTTACCAGCCTCCATGTCTGGAGAAATAGTCATTATCTAAAGAGATAGCCAGTGCAACCGCCACAGCTCTCTGTGCCAGAGTCAGAGGATGCTTCACTTCTAATTGTTGATCCTGCGAAGCAGAGCTATGTATTTAGATAATGAACAGATTTTCTTTTTTAAAAAAAACCTGTTTTTGTCAATAGTTTACCTCTCCATGGTGTTTACTGGAATCAGTTGTGCCAAATCGAATAGCATACTGGCCAGCATCAGTGAGAAGCTGCATCACATGAGAACAAGCACATTCAGATCTTTCTATCCACTTCCGTTAAACACAACATTTCTCAAATTAGGTTCTGGAATCACGTTGTCATATGCTGAAATAAGCATCAGATGGAGACAGCATATCAGACCTCTTATATCCTCTCCTACTTAAATCATTCTCTAATTCAATTCTGATACCATTTTTATCATAAACCAAATTGATTTGCATGCAAGAAAGCAGCAACAATATTTCCCATGTTCTCCTTCCTTCAGCCACGGGAAAGCCAACATGAAACCTTTTGATAATAAAAGCAAAAACAGCATCACAAGCAAGCAACTAGCTCCATCCATAATTCGATATGGAGGCCATTCACTAGGGGATACAGGTACTAAACGTATTTCAAATCGTTGAACCATCCCCTGCAACTGCCTCACTTCCAAAGGGATCAAAGCCGAGAATGAGAAATAAATATATAAGTAAATGCAACCTCAAAGCCGAAACCCCTCCAGTTACGATCTATTTCCGCCAGCACATCCCCATTGATGTCCTTCAGTGTGAAGGTCCAGTTCCAGAATCCAGGATTCTCAACAACCGCAAATTGCTCATTCCTACAAAGGAATCAAGGAATCATCCAAGTCACATGCAATAAGAGTAAGATAGCTGTAGGATAAAACTTTGTGAACCTGAAAAAGCCTTACAATACAGAAAAAGTAATAAGTTAGGTGAGATCACCCTAAGTATAAGTCATAAATTCTCTTCCACAAATGCCACCGTCTATGAACAACACCAATCTCCTGTGAAGAAAGAAAAACGGAAAAGATTATAAGCAACATAATTACAATGTATTATCACAAACTACTCAGAAAAGACTAATAAGAAACACTTGAACACCAAAATAAGGTAAAATTTCACTTGGAATACCTTTCCATTAACCTCGGTGTAAATTGAACTGTTTATCCACCAAAAAGGCCTGCGAACCTAAATGTAGATAATACACGCAATTTTCACAAAATGAATGTTAAAGGTAAAAATAACTTAAAGAGAGTGATAAAAAAATAAATTCCATTAAAGTGCCATACCCTAAAGAGCTCATTTCCCAAAGCATCAGTGATGTATGCCACAAAAGGACGCCTTGAACGCAGAAGCTGAAGAAGAGTGAACAAGTAGTTCAGCACCAATGGCATAAATTTTCAGTACATCCTGTTTGTTTCCAGCTTAATAATCACAGAGGGAACATAGAATCAAAAACTGTTCTTGAGCATCAAGTCTGTAGCACACGCTACCAACAGTTGTTGAAAAGGAAACTGAAAACGACAAAAACCTTTTACAGCTGAAATGAAACAGTAAAATGTAATTTGATTCATTAAGAGTGTGTACGATTTGTTCCTGCAACGCAGCATATTCCACATAAGGTAGATAAAGCAATATCCCGGGTGAAGACCAGGATCTCAGGGGAAGGGGGGTTTCATCAATACATTTCATGCGCTTGTATGAATCTGATGCTTATAAAAATGGAGCAGGATTCTCATGAATATAAACAAAATAACTTCGGCAACAGCCAATAAAATTAGAACAAGAAAAGATACAAAGCGGTCCAGAGTAGGAGAACCTAGAATTGTTCCTATTACTGAACTATGGTCATCACCCAGCAAGAAAAGGGTCATATTTTTGAATCACCCAAAATCTTGAATCTGGAAATTAATTTAAAGAATCTTCCTTCAACAGTATGCAACATGACCTTTTATACTGCAGGACCATAATTTATCGGCATTTGTTCCGCTATGAAGAGTTTTCAGTTTTCACATGCATGTCTGATTAGACTATTAACAGCAAATGCTTCTGATTAGACTAAGCATTTGCCCCCAACAAGAATGTGTAATATGGGGAGACCATTCTTTGTAGTATACTTAACCAATTTGAAAGTTGTTTTGACCCTTTTAGCCTTTTAGGTAGATCTTTATCTTTTAGTAATTTATACTACGTATGAGAATGCATACACAGACAAGAACTATAAGAGCTGCGAAGAATTTTAGGTTTGCAAAGTTACTTACAGCGTAGAATTTTATAAACTATTCTAGCAGGAAAATAAAATGTACCTGTCTCATGATCAGATTACTCTGCTCCCGGATATAACCTACAGGCTAAGAATAAGGAGCAGATTAAGAAATCGAGAAAGGAAAAAAATTTAGCAGTTTTTCCAAATTTACATGTCAATCAGCTCAACAACTAAAAATTTTTTGAAGAAGGAAAGAACAGAACGTACTGAATGGGGGTAATAAACGTCAACTATGGCATACTGGTTCTCCTGCAAATACAGCCTTAGAATTAGCAATTATTGTGCATAAATGATGAAAGAAAAAGCGGCAGAATGGGAACATGATAATATGACGATATAGAGGCATGCAGCAGGTAAACAAGAATGCTACTAAGTCACAATACCAATATTGATATCATAACCACTATCATATTTAACAGTACCATGAGAAAAGAAAGATTGAAGACTTGAATCAGATAATAGTTATGTGCTTTGGCATAAACAAAAACCTTCAAATAACACAAACACCAATCTATTACCATAACTTTCACAAGACAGTCAAGATATCAATGCCAAAATTAAATGAGAACTACAAAAACTACTGCAATATGTCTGTTACCAAATTAAATCTAAGCATTACTCTAGACCTTAACCCTTACGATTCAAGATTTAAATGTTATCTGTTAAGGAAATTAATTCGTTGTGTTTATGAACCTTGGCAGATTAAGTCTATTCTATACAAGTTATGTGAATCACAAAGAAGAGCGAAGATGCCAAATTGAAATCGTATCATGCAAAGCGTATGCAGAATTGAGAGTAAAGGGTTCAAACAGTACCTGCTCAAAACCAAACGCAAGATTTGCCCATTCTATATCCCTAGTAATCAGCAAGTTGGATCTCGCCAAAAGAGGAGCAAGATGTGCCTAAATAAAAGAACCCTATGAATCAAAAGTACTGATCATCTGCATACAAAATCTGAAAAAGAGGATCACCAGCCATGCCAAGAATTAAATGTCTGAAATCTTACCTCCTCTATCGATGTAGGTTTCAGATACCCAGTAACAGGCTCACTCATCGGTGGTTGCCTCAAGGGACGCTTTGCCCCATCATAAGAATCAAATCCACCAGAAAAAAGTCTCCGCAATGATCCTTGGGAAGACCGACTACCAGCATATTGTTGACCTTTATTCCGCCTTTTAGCATCAGCATTTCTTATTTTACGACCCTCAAGCCATTGCTGGACAAAAAAATCTCTGCTCAAGTCTGAGCCATTTTTTGTGCTGTAATTATATCTACAGGATGTGGAATTTGTGCATCTCTCTAGAGCCAAAATACTCCCTGCAATGCCAAAATTCTTTTCAGCAGCAAACAATTCAATTCCTCGCCATCCAAGAACAGAGCTTCCTCCCTTTGATAGCTTAGCTAAACGATGAAATCTTTTCATACAGTTCTGACCAAAACCAAAACAAAGGTACACAAGTTTAATCTTCAAGAAAGCAGGTCACAACCAAATAGCTTGATCAAAGTCTGTACATGTATTTAGCGACAATTATAGATCGGGAATACTCTTTTTGCAGATGAATTTTGGATACCTTGACTAGTAATCACAACAACTAATCCTTCACTATATTATGAGAGGTCGAATATACAAATTCATTTCTAGAAGTAACATGTTTTTTAGAACTATATGCAAATGTCTAGACTCTCGACCATCCATCTCAAGTGACTCTCAACTTCTTATCTATCCCGAGCACACCATAGTTATCAATTTATAAACTGAAAACCACAACAATAATTTTCCAGCTCACATAGTTTCTCTAAGCTCCAAATGCATAACCTAATGGTGCCAAACTTACTAAACTTACTATGAAGCATACCAACATCACTTTTACAAAGCTCCTACTTTACTCAAACCTTGATGAATCCTTGAACAAAACAAACATCAGATTCCATTTTAAGCCAAAACGTAAGAACTCAAAATTTATCGAACAAGAATCCTGTATAATAACTAGTATAAATTCCAACCAGATGTGGATTACAATGCAACCTCTTGAAACATCTAAAAAAAACTAACTTTTGGAAAGTAGAGAAAACAGAGAGAACATTAACTCGCTGCAGAAAAAGAATTGTTTCTTTTCATTTTTATGCTTACAATTGGACCCTTCATGGCTGATCACATTGAAAATCCTATGGAAGCTCTTGCAGAAGAACTTCATGAAGTAAGGATTTCACTTCTTAGATACCGACGAAGGCGAAGGAAAACTGGTATTGTACACGGTTAGCGAAGAAGAACCGGGGGCAGCGGCGGCAGTGGCGCCGGTGAGAAATGAAGAGGGGCAAGGGAGTGTTTCACTAGCAGCTGCGGTCAAGTTTCAAACTATACTATAAAACTTTGAAGTCTCAATTTTCCCATTTTGTTTTTTTCTACTTTACTTTTTAGATTACTCCGTGCATTGTACGAGAAATATATAACGGGTATAAAATACGTTTATACAGGAGATGAAAAGATTATATTATAAACAAAAAATAATCTCCATGTTTTTAGTAAAAATTACTTCACTTAACAAACAACACCCCACTTTTTGTTTTTAGTAATGACGACCAAAGACAAAAAAAATAAACACCAAACACAGTGCTAACTATTGTTTTGACCTTGCCCAGCCTCAACATTCTTTTCTTTTTGTGTTTTTTGTTTTTGTTGTTGACAACAACGAATACGAAGATGGGGATGTACAAAGAGCCCCAAATGCAACAAGTTCTTTTGTTGGAAGACAAAGCCCGCCACTAGATTACTATTTCACGCAGTCAACCGAAACAACAAAAAACCAACGCCACCGCACCGAGGTCGATGGTGTCTTGTTATGTTCCATCAGGGAAGGATCAATGGCGAGTTGGTACGTAGATTTTCAGTCCAACTATAAATTCTTGAAAGCAATAAATCCTTTTATTACGGGATAATCAAAAAGTTTTGACAGAACATCATTATACTTTGTCAACCACCATTCTTAAAAATTGTTAGAAACATATCAACCAAAATAACTAGAGATAAAAACAACCAACAATTTTCAAGAATTAAAATATAGTATCTGGTTCTCTGGAGGTGTAGGCTTCAGATTAAATAGTTCACGATTCTCAAATCTAGTATAATATTTAGGATAAAAGTAGTTAGGAAATCGGGCTCTATTGGTGTTTCAGAAATTTTCAAATGGAAGTAATATATGACCCAACAACTGTATGTTGTGAAAATAACTGAAAAATCATACTGTATTTATTTAAAAAAAAATCATAATTAGTGATTGGGTTAAGATAAAAATCATATCTTTATCCCAACACCATAACTTTTTGATTAAGGTAAGATTTTGTTAAACCAATTACATCATTTAGATTTTTTTCATCTTAATTCAAATGGTAAAATTATTATTACATTACGGTAAAATCTAATTTGTTACATGAAAACTTAATTGAGCTTATAATTTTATGCCAAATCAGCTTTTTCCATCCTCTATTAATATATATATATATTATTATTATTATTATTTTCAAAAAGTCTTATAGTTTTTATGAGAAATAGAATTTTCGTTTATTTACTGGAAATCATCTAGTTACAGTTGATGATGATATTAAAAAATAAAATAGTAAAACACTACTTACAAGATGTCATTTTGTTGTATTTGTTTGTGATAAACCTTTATAGATCTACCAATACAATTGGTAGACATATTATTGAGATTTCTTATGTAGATAATAATCATTTGTCCAAACACGTTGGGATTGTGAGAAAATTTTGATATCAATGTATAAATGCGCTAAACTAATTTAGTATAAACGTTGTTTGAATTTGGAGTTAGCTATATTAGTCAGTGTAATAAAGCAGTTGAAGCCCGTGTTGTCAGACCCGAATTTGGAACCGGACCGGTGTCAATAGGGATTCATTAGGTCATTGGGTCAACCCCTTTAGCCTGGAACATAAAACCCAATAAGACCGGATGATGTCATATATCATTTTTAATTCTAAATATTAATAATAAAATAACTAAAGTTATAAGTATTAATATAATAATTTCTATGTTAGAATTTCTTAAAAATATAATAAATTTATGATTGAAATAAGAAAAATATTGATTTAAACATATGTATTTAACATCAAAACTAAAACTTTTCAACACTAAAGATATTTAGGACTCAAAAATTGAGACTTGTTGAGAAAATATATAATTTATTGTCTAAAATAACCACAAAAATAAAAAATAGTGGTCAATTCAACAAGTTTACAAAAAAACTAGGGTCATAACATAAAGAAAAAAGTCACAAACGAGGAAAAAGACAAAAACCAGGTTTGACCAGTCTTTTTCCGATTCGCAGTCCAATCGAATTTTGACCGGGACTTGACCGGTTTAAATACTGCTCGGTTTTAAAGCAGGATCGGACCGAACTCCTAACCGGTTCGCGGTTGAGCCGGTCCAACCGACCGGCCCGGTCTGATTTTTACAACACTGGTTGAAACATTAGGGTTAATGATCAAATGATTCCTCTTTCTTTCTTTCCCTATTTATATCTTTATTCTCCTTTGACTCAATTTTGGGGTCGGTTCAAATCTTTCTGTTGGACTTATACATAAATATTGGTGGTGTCAATTTGGGTTGGGATTTGTGAACCCGACACTAACCCAACACGAAATAAACGAGTTTGGATTAAAATTTTGAACCCATATAATAAATGGGTTGGGTTGGGTTGCCCTGTTTATTAAACAGATCAGGTTTGGATTGGCCTGATGGGTTATGCAGGTTACTGATTTAACCCGCATAATATTAAATTACTTAAAAACCCGCCAACCCGCCAATCCGGACCAACCCATTTTGAAACCCCTAAATTAATAATGTGTCGTGGTATGCTCCTCTCATTGCTAATTAGGGAATGTTGATTTCATTACAGAAGTACATAACTCCCTTCGTGCATATAGGTGAAAGTATATCACGTTTATAAAGTTTGAAAAAAATTATGCATATATATATATATGTTTGTCTGTGTATATATGTTTGTCTGTGTATGTATAACTGTCAAGAATTTCGATTCGGGAGATGAGTCCCAGAAAGTTCCAATATCAAGTCTAATAAGTAAGTAAGAACCCTCCTCAACTTAAAACCTCAAAGTTATTTGTTTTAGGTTCAAGTTATTTTTTAACTGCTATCTATTGTTCCCAGATACTGATGCGGGACTATTAACTTATGACCTCAAGAATCTCCCCCCTCATGAGTAACTCACCACATCAAAGTCAAATGCCTTTTTCAATTGTAACCGCACTAAGCCCACCTCTACTTCAAGTCAAAAAGTCGATAACTTTCAAAGTGCTGAGTTCCATGGAATAACCAGGGTGCACAACTCCCAGGCCCACGTAGCCTACACCAGACTCAACCAACCTGCGGCTCTGATACCATGTCATGATCTGGGGATAGTTTGTTATTTTCGTATAGTTCAGGACTATATTTCTAATATGTTTCTATTTTCCCCATTTAGGCAAATGGCTATATAAGCCTTGTAATTGTTACCGCAGGTTAGGGAAGATTAATGGATTGTTCTTGACCTAAATCGATTAACCACGCTACTCTGTTTTCTCTGTATTTTCTTCTCTCTTTCTTCCCCATTCTTCTGAATCCCCTCTGAAATCTGAACTCTCGGTCGCTATTCTTACCATTCCTGCACTGCCTTTCCGATTAATTCAGTAATTACCCTCTATACCTGACAATTGGTATCAAAACCGAGGAATTCCTCGGTTTTGAGAAGACAGTTAAATGACTCAAACAAAAAATCCAGCGTGAAATGGAGGATCTCCAATTGCAGAGCGAGGAGTTGAGTAGGCAGGTGAAAGAAATGAACATCAATCTTGCCAATTTTGAAAAGTAGATGGAAGCCAAATTGGATGCCGATTTGGAGGCTCTCGCAGCAAAGCTTTTATGTTGCAATTGATTCCAAGAATTTTTCAAATGAGGCAGTGACCAAAGGAGAATCTAAGGATGAATTTCTCGCAACCCCATCGGAAGAAAAGGGGCATTCTTGATGAGAAGTTCTTCACAAGACCGATCAGCAGTGATTAATTCTCAGGGACGTACTTCAGGATCTCAAAGTGTTTTTTGGGAAAAACACTCCAAAATGAATAGTAAGATTTATTAAAAACCCATTGCATTTTCCGCTGTGATTTTGTCTCAACTCAAGATCGAACTTCCATCAATTTCATCACAGAAACTACGAGATTGGCTTAGGGATGAGCCTTCGGGGCTTTGATTCAAGAATTTGAGGTGGTGGAGACGGGTGCCTTCGATTTCGATTCAAATCCTTGTAAAGAAATGACGGCCGATCCAAGAAATAAAAAACAAGATAATTCTCTTTCTCAAACTATAGATCTTACCGAATGTCTGGATTCTGAGGATGGATATGCATATGATTACGGTTCTTTCATTTGGAATGAAAAGAATTGTAGTATTGAGGTTGTTGTTGATGAATCAGTGATCTCTAATGTTGAAAAGCTTACTTGTGTGAACCGGGATGATGATTGCATAAATGCAAATGATAATTGTCAAGAAATTAGCTATTTGTTGGGTACAACTGTGAGTTCTAGTGATGATGTTTCCCTATGTATGAATTGGGATTGGAGTTCTGGTTTGAGAATTCGAATGGGGTGAACCAGACATTAGATGGGTGTGGTTGCCACGAGTTTGGAATTATTATAGATGTTGTTGATGTTATTGGGGATCGCAATTCTGTTGCTAAAATGGCATGTTGGTTAAACTCATTTTTTATTGATCCCGGGGAATTAAGGAACTGGAATAGACCATGGGAATTAATAATATATGGCTTGAGAGGAGGGACAGAAATTTATTCGGTTTTTGATGATGATGAATGTCTACATGTAAACCATGAAAGTATTGAAACTGTGAGAGTTTATCATCTGGTGTTGGAACTTCTAGGCATTGCCATCTTTGGGTATGATATTGATAGGAAAAACTTATCTCATATAGGGGAAGAATGGAATTTCAGATTTGTGGTCATTAAATACTTCAACTGAATGTGGATTTGATAAAATGGTACTGAATATAACTAGTGAAGGGCATACTTGTTGGTATGAAGTTGTTACTTGCTTCAGAGGAAGTACTAGCATCGCAGGAATTGGTCAATTTCAGCATGTAAGAGATCCAGTTGACCCAGCTTGTTGTTCTGGTTTGGGAAATGTTGGGATATGTATTGAACTTGGAAAAGAAGCCTTACTCGAAGGCCTTCAGAAGCTACTAAATGTTTTGAGTACTGAGCTTGAGAGGAGTAATTCTGATGCTGAGAATGTTGACCTTGAGAACAAGACCAGTTATGAATCTTGGGTTCAGGAGGCAAAGTTCAAACTGGGTGTGATGTTTATAAAGTGCCAGTAATTTGGTTTGAGTTTGAATTTGTCAATAGTTTGGGTCGAAAGCTTTTCAGAATTCTGGGAACATTAATGGTGTTCAAACTTCTTTGAATTAGATTGGAGTACAATATCAAAGGTGGTGGGTATTAAGCATTTCTGAATTTTGCAGCCTTGAGGACTAGGCAGTTTTTAAGGGGGAATGGTTGCACTTCAATGGATAACCCAAATGGATAGAGTGTTATTTGAGTTTATTAAGCTTTGTGGCAACAAGCTAATTTCAAGCAAAGTCATTTTTTGGGGAGTTCTCAAAGCTCAATATTTGATGGTAGTTACCAGTTCAGACAAGAGAAATTCAACAATGTGGTGTGGACAAACCAAATCTCCCAAGGTTGAGTTCTTTGAATTGCAATGGGAAGTTAATGTGATAGTTGATGACTCTGAGGTATGCATTTATAACTAGAGGTGGTGAGTCATTGCAGTAGTTAGAAAAGCTAAACCATCATCAAAATCACCTGAGTGGATGCACCAGATCGGGAGTGATGTATCAGACTTCATTTGTCTGCAGAAAAAAGGGAAATGTTCCTTGGCCTTTGCTATTGGAGGAGACAGGAACATTAATAATGATATGATGAGGGAGAAACTCAGCAAGATGTCGGAGAAGTGAAACATACGAGATCACAAACGTAGGACTAAATATGAATTGAGACAAAAGCTTTAGAAAGACTTTGTAAGTTCATATCCGGGACAAAGATCATTTGTTGATAATGCTCGAAACATGGAAGTTGGCCTTGAGCACTTATGGTGGAGCTAGAGTGTGACCAGGATTAGGAGCACAATGATCTCATATGGAGTTGCAACAGCTGAAAAATCAAACAAGATACATCAGATTCTCAAGAGTAAAGCAAGTTGCTAAAGTATGTAAATGTGTCAAAGTTGCAGCTCAACACCTATCATTTTCTCCACAAAAGTCTTGAAAGAGCAAGTCAGTCGACACAGTTAGGGTCTCCATTTCAGATGTGTATGTCTTCATGAGAGCTCATGAGACTTGCTACAAATTACTGGGTTCTATCTTCAAAATTTTTCAGACTTCAACCTTGAGGACAAGGTTTGTTTTATGGAGGAGGGATGGTCAAGATCTGGGGTTAGTTTGATATTTTAGTATAGTTCAGGACTACATTTCTAATATGTTTCTATTTTTACCATTTAGGGAAATGATTATATAAGCCTTGTAATTGCTACCGCGGGTTAGGGAAGATTAACGGGATTGTTCTTTGCCTAAATCAATTAACCACGCTACTCTGTTTCCTCTGTATCTCCTTCTCTCTTTCTTCCCCGTTCTTCTGAATGCACTCTGAAATCTGAACTCCTGGTCGTTTTTCTTACTATTCTGGCACCGCCTTTCAAATTATTTCATAGATTACCCTCTGTACCTAACAATTAGTATCAGAGCCGAGAATTCCATGGCTTCGAGAAGACGGTTCAATGACTCAAACAAAAATCCAGCGTGAAATGGAGGATCTCCAATTGCAGAGCGACGATTTGAGAATGCAGGTGAAAAAGATGAACATCAAGCTCGCCAATTTTGAAAACCAGATGGAAGCCAAATTGGATGCTGATTTGGAGGTTTTGCAATGAAGCTTTTATGCTGCTATTGATTCCAAGAATTTTTCAAATGAGGCGGTGCCTGAAAGAGAATCCAAGGATGAATTTCTTGTCACCCGATCGAAAGAAAAAGGTGCATTCTTGGTGAGAAGTTCTTTAGAAGACCGATCACTAGTGATTAATTCTCAGGGAGGAACTTCAGGATCTCAAAGTGTTTTTTGGGAAAAAGCCTTCGAGATGAATAGCAAGATCAATTGGATACCCACTGCAATTTCCGCTACGATTCCGTCTCAACCCAAGATCAAACTTCCATCAATTTCATCACAGAAACCAGGAGATTGGCTTAGGGATGAGCCTTCAGGACTTTGATTCAAGAATTTGAGGTGGTGGAGATGGGTGCCTTCGATTTCGATTCAAATCCTTGCCAAGGAATGACGGCCGATCCAAGAAATAAAAAACAAGATAAGTCTCTTTCTCAAACTTATAGATGTTACCGAATGTCTGGATTTTGAGGATGGATATGCATATGATTACGGTTCTTTCATTTGGAATGAAAAGAATTGTAGTATTGAGGTTGTTTTTGATGAATCAGTGATCTCTAATGTTGAAAAGGTTACTTGTGTGAATCGGGATGATGATTGCATAAATTCAAATGATAATTGTCAAGAAATTAGCTATTTTTGGGTGCAACCGTGTATTCTAGTGATGATGTTGTCCTATGTATGAATTGGGATTGGAGTTAAGGTTTGAGAATTCGAATGAGGTGAACCAGAAATTAGATGGGTGTGGTTGCCACGAGTTTGGAATTGTTATAGCTGTTGTTGATGTTACTGGGGATCTAAATTCTGTTGTTAAAATGGAATGTCGGTTAAACTCTTTTGTTATTGATCCCGGGGAATTGAGGAACTGGAACAGACCATGGGAATCAATAATCTCTGGCTTTAGAGGAGGGGGAGAAATTTATTCAGCTTTCGATGATGATGAATGTTTACATGTAAACCATGAAAGTATTGAAACTGTGAGAGTTTATCATGTGGTGTTGGAACTTCTAGGTAGTGTCATCTTTGCGTATCATATTGATAGGAAAAACCTTATCTCATTTAGAGGAAGAACGGAATTTTGGATTTGCGAGTCATTAGCACTACAAAAAACATGCCAGTACTCACAAAAAATTAGCGGTCGTAAGAAATTCGTGAGTATTTACCCACGAAATACCCACACATTTCCCACGAAGGTTTGACCGAAAGTGTTCCCCACGGATTCCCCACGGATTTCCCACAAGATTTCAAACGAAAGAATATGTGGTGGGTATTCCGTGGGTACGAGTTTCCCGCCATTAATCTCCCCACGAGTTTCCCACAACAAACCTTGTGGGAAATCACACACGAAGTAATCCATGAAAAACTCGTGGACAAATTAAATCACTCATGGATTACCCACGAAGTGGCTTTGTGAGTACCATTTCCGCATGCAACTCGTGGGTTAAAGTTTCCCACCAACAACACGAATTTTTCCACGCGAATAGCTGTGACTAACTACACACACAAATACATCCGTGAGAAACTCGTGGGAAAATTATATCACTCACGTATTACCCACGGATTTTTATAGTGGGTAACATTTCCAGATTTAAAACTTTGGTGAAAGTTTCTCGCCAACAAGCTCTCCACGAATTTCGCACGCAATTACACACGAGCTTTACTCCGAGGGGAACTCGTGGGTAATAGTTATCACCTAAAAAATTCAAATGTAAACCATGTGCAAGTTAAATTGTCCATGAATTACTGACGTGGGTGAGCCATGGGTAAGTAAAGTTACCCACGATTTACTCATGACAACTTTCGTGGGTAACTCTAGTTTCTCACGGTTTGCCACGACATTTTTTGCGGGTAGTTTTTTCGTGGGTATTGCGTGGAGAATGCGTGGGTAAACTTCACCACCCACGGCTTTGGTGTGGGTAATTCATTGGTAAAATAATTCTAAAATTTTAAAATTTTATTCATAAATAATTTGTATTTAGGCAGTTTGACATAATTATTGGTTAAATTAATATATATATATATATATATGTATATGAACGTGATATCGATGTATTCATTGTATATTTTTTTCGTGTAGTGTGATCAAATAATGCACTTGATATTAAATTGTATCTACTTTGTACATATATAGACATTGTCCAAATTGTATGTATGGTACTTATTGTATAGTGCATGACAATATATATATATATATATATATATATATATATACTTCAATCCAAAAAGACTGTTGATGAACTATATAATCATACATGACAATAGAGTATATATTGATAATGTACTTGAAATAGACTATTAAGACATATATTGATAAAGTTGTGATCACATTTATGATTTGATAAGTTATGATTACACCCAATCAGTGTAATTTGTATGTAAATAATAATTTGTGAAGGTTGAAATTATTCAGTAACCGATTATGACCTTATTGTTATTAATATTCAATAACGATTATATAATTGAGTTTCATTTTGATGTTCATTTGAATCAAAGTAAAACATCATTTTTGGGACGGGGGACAAAGTGGACGTTGTGTAGATATCATAATATTTGGCTTAAAATTGAAATAAAAAAGTTAGTTATTAAGGGCGTTAGTGAAAATATTTACATTAGTATATGGTTAAAAAAGAAAAAAAACTTCAAGGATATCATTTTGTAAATAATAGGGCGGCTATTTTGTAATTTATTTTGGCCATTATATAATTTAGGCATTTAATATGTTTAAAGCAGAAAATTTTATTTAATTAACTTGGAAAAAAAATTCTAAATGAAAAAAATGTGGGAAAGTTCCCGCTTTTGCCAATTTTTTCACGCTTTGGGTTGGGTCTCCCGCTTTTTGCGAAAAATCCCCCAAATCGGGCTAAGTCCCAAAACACACTCATTTTTGCCTAAGTCCGAAAACACAATCGACTTGTCCCCAATTTTGCCTTGACTCTCAATTGTCCGATTTCTTCCCCAAATCCACCTTCGACATCCTCTTCCAATCGGTCGCCGGCGTCATTTCAGAGATTAGCCCTAATTTTAGACCAAACTAAGGCATCTTCTTCCATTCTTTGAGGGCTTCTCCAAAGGGTTGTACTGGAAACCCATAGGTTTGGTAATACACAGTTCCGATTGAGGGCTTCTCCAAAGACGGCTTCTCCATCTGATTCCAATGCAAATCGCTACTTTTATTATATCCCAGTGCAAACCTAATCCGACTCAAGAAGGTTCGATTTTTGTTGTTAAGATTTAATTTTAGCCCTAGTTCATGGCGTGCATTGTTGTTCATGGTATGCTTCATTGTTGTGCATTTACTGAAAAGATACTCTTTTTTCCTCTTCACTGAGCTGGTATATGGTGCCACTGGCGCAATTCCCATTGCAATTGGGGTTTAGGGCATTAACAATGGTATAAACTTGTGAAATCAATTGTATGTCATTGTTGTTGGATGCATAAATTTAGAGTAGATTCGAATGGGTTGTAGACTGTTTAGTATTGACTATATAATTAGGGCAGAAATTGGTTCAAATGTTGCATGTCGATTCTGACCATCCTCTGTATTGATGCTTTCGTATCCTCTGCTACTTGCATGCTTTAAGAATGAAAGACTGAGCTTTTTGACAACTGAGACCGAGCTTGTTGACAACTGAGAATACTTTCCACCATATAGACTAGTTTGCAGATGTTGCCGACTTCTATTTTGGCCTTGAATTCTTGAATTCTTTCCTTGTTAAGTCCTGGATGCTTAATTCCTCATATTGACTGTATAGTCCGAGGTCAATATCTGAAAGTTTATGTATAATGTGGGATAAATATCTTCAGATGATCAGGGTTGTTTTGCTTACTTTTTAAGCCCAAATTGCTTCCACTTGATTCTGTAATTTGGTTTTACAGGTTCACATTTAAGAATAAGGGAGGAAGGTTCTATCACTTTTGTGCATTATTCAACTGGTGAAAGTTTGTGAGGAGAAGGGTCAAGTAAGTAGAGCCTTACACTTATCACTTTTTTTGTGACATGTAAGACATATTTCTTGATGCCTGTTTCATATTGATTGGAATACCATTACCAGTATATACAAAAATTGATTTCCCTGTTTCACTCGTAGTGACTTGTTTCCTTCTGTAAGTTATTGGGTAAATGATGTTCATTTGTAGAGATGATCAGTGTTGGTATTACTTAATACTTGAGGCCAATTTTATTTCTTTCTATTCTGTAAATTTCTTTTGCAATGTTCAACAACTGTAGTTTGCTTTCGCTTTCACTGTTGTGCTTTTCTTGCATGCAGATTCAAAATGGAAATATTTAACCTGTTTTAGATGCATAAATTTAGGGTATTTTCAAATGGGTTGTAGACTGTTTAGTATTAACTATATAATTAGAGCAGAAATTGGTTCAAATGTTACATGTCGATTCCGACCATCCTCTGTATTGATGCTTTCGCATCCTCTGCTACTTGCATGCTTTAAGAATGAAAGACTGAGCTTTTTGACAACTGAGACTGAGCTTGTTGACAACTGAGAATCATTCTGAATTATTCAACCTCTTTTACCAATTCTGAATCATTTTAACTACTGTATAGTATATTAAAAATCCGGTTTTTCTGTTCAACTCTTAATTCTGTTGCCATTATTTTAATTGAATCGATTTCTTTGCACTGATTGCTGGATTATGACGGAATGTATGCATGTACTATATATACCTGCAGGCTAATCTGTACCATAATTGACACTAAGTACACTGAATGTGAAGATTTTTGTCCACCATGTATGCATAATTATGATCTGAGATATGGATTTCTGCGAATATTTGAAACCTGTCACTCTTGTATTCTTTCCCTGTTAAGTCCTGAATGCTTAACTCCTCATATTGACTGTATAGGCCTTTTTCAATATCTGAAAGTTTATGTGTAACTGGGATATATATCTTCAGATGATCAGGGTTGTTTTGCTTACTTTTTCAGGCCAAATTTCTTCCTCTTGATTCTGTAATTTGGTTTTGCAGGTTCACATTTAAGAATAAGGAAGAAAGGTTCTGTCACGTTTCGGCTGGTGAAAGTTTGTGAGAAGAAGTCTAAACCGGGGTCAAGTAAGTAGAGCCTTACACTTATCACTTTTTTTGTGACATGTAGGACATCTTTATTGATGCATGATGTTGAACCAAGTATGCTGCCAAACGACATTTAAATTGAATCTGCCTGTGAACTGAAAGTTTGTGATTATGCATGATATCATGGATATATATATATATATGTATGTATAAATTATATGTGATGCCCATGTGTTGTTCTTTTATTAAAGATGATATGTGATGCATGCCATCTAATCTTCTTTTCTGAACGCATATTATGATGAAATGCATGTGAAATTCTTTTAGAAATGATTTTATGTGACTTGTAAACCAATTTGTCGTTGTTGAAATTTTGTAATGAATACGATTTCATTAGTATTCAGTTAGGGATCTCGATAATAGTCGATTAGGTCACTTTTTTTAAGCCAACTGATTCTGAACTTTAATAAATTTAACTATCTAGATGAGAACTGACCAACAATGGATGTATGAGCGACATTTAGAACGGCGTAGGTCTATTAATCCAGAATTTTTATCCGGCGTTAATTCATTCATTGAGTATGCTTCTTCAAAACCTTCTTTTATGGACATTAACAAGATACGGTGCCCTCGTGTTGTATGTAAGAACAAAAGATATCTTTTACCCGATGTAGTTAAGTTGCACCTTCTTAAGAAGGGTTTCATTGATGATTACCATGATTGGGTTTTCCATAGAGAAGATCCGGGGGGATCTTCTTCATCGCAAACCCTTCACAATGGGGGAAATGTGGTAGGATCAAATACATACCGGGACATGGTCATCGATGTGATTGGTCCTACATTTGATCCACACTTTGGGAAAAGTGGTGCCAATGAAGAACCTCCAGATCCAAAAACTCAAAGGTTGTATGAAATGTTCCAAAAGGCCGATGAATTCCTATGTGAAGGATGCTCAAAAGTCTCGCAATTGTCACATGTTGCTAGACTTGTGAATATAAAGTCGCAACATGGGTTATCAGAAAAGGCCTACGATGATATCTTGGAGTTATTCAAGGATTCAATTCCACCGAAAAATAAAATTGTGGATAGCTTTTATGAAACAAAGAAGCTAGCTTCCGATTTGGGTCTCCCGTGTAAGAAGATCCATTGTTGTGTAAAAGGGTGCATGTTATATTGGGGTGATGACATAGGCTTGATGAATTGAAAAATTTTTGGCCATCCACGGTATAAACCATGGAAAGAAGGTTCTAAGAGACGAAAAACCCAATGCCCTAACCAAATCATGCATTATTTTCCTCTAACTCCTTGGCTTCAATGGTTATATGCTTCCCAAGTCACGGCAAAGCACATGCGGTGGCATAAAGACCGTGAACAAGGAGAAGAGGAACATGATAAACAAGGTGTTATGCGTTATCTTTCGGATGGGTGGGCATGGAAGCACTTTGATGAGGTAAATGATTCTTTTGCACGAGAGTCAAGAAATGTAAGACTTGGATGTGCGTGAAAGAAGAGTACATGTTTTTAACTATTATTGTGCCGAACCCTAGAAATCCAAAGGGGAAGCTAGATGTTTACTTGAAACCTTTAATTGCCGAATTGCTAGCTCTTTGGGAAGGTGTTCCAACATATGATGTTTCTACTAAACAAAACTTCCATATGAGAGTCGCAATTATGTGGACCATTAGTGATTTCCCGGCTTTTGGAATGTTATTCGGGTGGAGCACCTCGGGGAAAAAAGTTTGTTCATATTGTATGGAGCACTCAAAGGCCTTTCGTTTAGAGAATGGTAGTAAAGTGTCTTGGTTTGATTGCCATCGCCAATTTTTGTCGAAGGATCATCCTTTTAGAAGGAATAAAAATGATTTCATGATAAACAGAACCGAAGAGTCTCTACCTCCTCTAATATTGACGGGTGAAGATGTTCTTAGACAAATTTCAGATTTGGGGCTTAAAAAAATAACCGAAGTTGATGGGGAAATTTGGAATGCTCCGATATGCAAGTCTTGTGGTTTGAACAAAAAGAGTATAATTTGGAATTTGCCATATTGGAGTACAAACCTCATCCGTCACAATCTTGATGTCATGCTCATTGAGAAGAATGTATTGGAGAATGTGTTTGATAGTGATGGATATTAAAGGAAAAACTAAAGATAATATGAAATCAAGATATGATATAAAACTTTATTGCAAGCGTAGAGAGTTGGAAAAAGATGAAGCAACCGGCAAGTATCCAAAAGGTTGTTATACCTTGGGTAAAGCGGAGAAGAAAGTAGTTTGTAAATGGGTGACACAACTCAAGTTCCCCGATGGTATGTATTAAATATGGGTAGATGTGTGGACTTGAAAAAGTACAAGATGTTTGGGATGAAAAACCATGATTGCCACGAATTTATGCAAAGGCTACTTCGCATAGCTTTTCAAGAAATGTTGCCCACCATTGTTTGGAAAGCTTTGACCGAGTTAAGTTTGTTCTTTAGAGATCTTACAAGTACGGAGATAAAGGAAGAAGATATGTTTCGTTCCAAAGGGAAGTTCTCATTATTGTGTGCAAGTTGGAGCGAATATTACCACCGAGTTTCTTTGACTTCATGGAACATCTTCCAATCCATTTACCCTATGAAGCAATACTAGGGGGACCCGTTCAATACTGATGGATGTATCCATTTGAAAGGTTAGTTCCTCCCATGAATTGCTTTTATTATAACAGGAACTTCTTTTTTTAAGAAATATATATATATATATATATATGTAAATGACTTAGGTTCTTGAGAAAATTGAAGTTGAAAGTTACCAACAAAGCAAGAGTTGAGAGTTCGATATGTAATGCTTATTTGGTGGAAGAAACTTCAAACTTTTGCTCTCATTACTTTAAGTCTCATGTGAGCACAAAAAGAAATGGAGTGAGGCGTAATGATGATGGTGGCCCAATGAATAACAATGAATATAATCTATCTATATTTACTTATCCGGGAAAATCATATGGGCAAGCAATATCAAGACGCTTGACCAGTGAAGAGTATGACGCCGCAAGGTCGTACGTCTTGTTAAATTGTAAAGAAATTGATGAGTATATCAAGTAAGTTTTTGGTGTTGTTTACAATTAAGTTAGTTTTCTTTCTTAACTCAATATGACATATTTAAATGTCGTATCATGAAGGGTATTCATAGAGGAGTTTCATGTCAAAGAACCCAACATAACGGATGGGTTAGTTGATATTAAGCTTGAGAAAGAATTCGCGAATTGGTTTCGTACCTATGTAAGTGTTTCATATGTTCCTAAGTAATCATTAATATGCTTATTTCAATATTGAGTTTTGATTTTTAATATAGGCACATGATCCAAGGAGCAACATCACTAGTAAACTCATCAAAGATGTCGCCCTTGGCCCTTTAAGAAATGTGAAGACTTTTCCCGTTTATTTTGTTAATGGGTATAAATTCCACACATGTGAGCATGGAAAGATGAGATCAACATTCAACAGTGGAGTGTGCATAAAAGGGTATAATTATAGTAATGAATCAAGTGATTATTACAGAACTTTGTTGGAAATTGTAGAGTTAGAGTATCCCGCGCTTCCTATCAAGCGCGTTGTTTTGTTCAATTGCCATTGGTATGATACAACCCCAAATGTGGGGATAAAGGTTCATAAAGACTACAAAATCGTTGATATAAACCATAGAAGAAGGTTACGTAAGTATGAACCTTTTGTATTGGCATCTCAAGCATTACAAGTTTACTACACGCCCTATCCAAGCATGAAGAGAGACAAAGCTGATTGGTGGCCTGTGTGTAAAGTCAAGCCTAGATTTGATTTTGATGTCCCTGCAGTAGACGCGCCTTTCCAAGATGATGAAGTCATGCATTTGATGCCATTGATCCTATATCAGAACCTTTAAATGATACAAGTGGATTCTTGTTGGTTTAGAGGTTGGAAATAATAAAGACGATGAATGAATGTCGACAGGGATCCCAAGTACATGTTTTTGCAGCTTTATGATTCTGTTTCTGATATACCCTTAACTACTGTGAGTCTTTTGTGATTCTGATATATATGCAGTTTACTTTGTATCTCTGTTGTAAAACATGGTTCTATTTTATTTGTTATTTAATTGATCATTTTAACACCATAACTAATTGATATGATGTGGAATCTTGCAGATATGGTGAGAGGTAAGGTGGGAGATGGGACTGCCGCAAGTTCAAACTCAAAAGTTCAGTCTCCATCCAAGGGCAAAGCAGATTAACTCTCAGTCCTATGCAGCGTCCGAGGACCAGAAAGTCGCTTCTGTTTTCAAATGTTGTTCCTCCTGGTACTGAGGATATCCAAACTGCAGCAACTTCCAATCTGAACCCTGCAGCAACTTCCAATCTGAACCCTACAGCTCCAAATCAGACCTCTCCCATTCTTGAGCCTGATGCAAGTAAGAGTCGAAAGGTTCTGAAACTAAGAAAGTCATTACGTCACTCAACGAGAACTCAAAACTCTGAGCAGAGTCGAAGTCATGACTCCAGTTCACAGCCTGTTGAACAACTCAGATCAGAATTGATAAAGTTGCAGTAGAAAATAATACAACTCAAGTTGCAGTAGAAATCCAGGTTGAGAAAGTTGCAGCCAAAAAACAAGTTCATGACCAGGTTGAGTTTAAGATGTCAACACATCAGTCCAAAGTGATTGAGGCTATGAAAGTTGGACACCCTGCAACCAGTTCAAGCCATATTCAGGGTTCACAAATTCAGAGTAAAGAAAATGAAGCCAATGCAGGCAATTCAACTCATCAGCATGGATCAAGAAATCAGGGTTGAGGATCTAATTGCAACCTGAATCATTCTGCAAGTACACAGTATCAATCTGCAACAAATGCATCTAAGTCACTGTCAAACCAGGATCGGATAAGGACCACCTTAGCACGGGGAACTGCTTCTCACCGGGATGAAGAAAATGCATTAGATGCAGCAGAACGTAGCACTGATCGTAGCCTGAACAACAGTCACATCAATAATTCCAACCTGAGGAACGATGCAGACCACTCTTGTCCTATTTCAAGCACACCTGAGGTTGAACATGGAAACAATAAGTCCCCCAAAACTGATGATGGTGGCAATTCAAAAGGGAATCATACTCCAGAAAAATCTAAGAAGCGAAAGTCCACAGCAACAGAGATACATGCTGTCGGAAAAACGTAAGTATCTGCAAATCTGCTTTTTCAAATATTATATCTAATGATAGATCTTGATCGCTTTTTTGTTGCAATTAGAATAGGTTAAGCTTGCAGAGTATATGTTCGCGAAAAATCCGAAGCTTGTTCGAAGATAGGCTGGAAGTCGGAGCATACTCTTGGCCAAGAGTGAGCCCAGGAATGAAAGATTTCTATTGGAATGAGTTCAAGGTAAGTATTCTATGTGTGATGCTAATTGCGTTAACTGGGGATTTCTGTAAATTGCTGCTTTCAGTAAACTATTATGGATGATAGAGTTTATATTGATAGTATTGTACCAAATAATTGCTTTAAATGATACTTGTATTATATTTTTGTAGAAATGTTTTACTTAGGATCCTGGAGAGGAAAACCAGATCAAGGAGGCATGGAAATTATTGGCAGCAGAACGTTACCGTGACCTTAGAAGGGACTTGAGAGAATGGGATGAAAAACCATATTTTGTTCAGGAGGATGTGTCGTTGAGCTTCACAAATCATTGGCAAGTTGAGGATTTCATGATGGTTGGGAGAAGGAATTCCAAAAATCGTCGCAGCCCCAAGGGACCAGTTTCTCACAATGGAGGTTCCGTCTCATTCATTGAGCATGCTTTGCTGCACTTGTAAGTTTTTTATTCGTAACACTAATGAGTTTATAATGTTCAATTTACTACCTGTTTCTGCTCAAACTTAATCTGTTAATAGATTGCTAATTTTATTTCTTTGTAAATGGCACTATTTGCAGGAACGTACCTTAGGTCGAGTACCCACCCCGTACAAAGTATTTGCATATACTCATACGAGGAATCATGATTTCCAGACTTTTATTGATCCTGTCTCAGCAGATTCATGTAAGTTTCTAAACTGGAACTGAGTAGTATATTCCCAATATAATGTCCAGATTTAGACTGTTCTTCCATTCTTTATTCTGCTAATGTACTTGGAGTTATTTTATGACTGGATTGCTTGATGATATCCTGAATATTCTGAAATGGTGATGATTGTCACTAACATAATTTCTGCCTAACTTTGAATTATTCCAATTCAACTATGAGTGTTGATTGTGGATTCTTTTGTGTGCATTGCATGATTGTAGGAGAAATATGTTGATTTGTGAAAGCATGTAATGGAGAAGTTGGCGGAGGAGGGGTGTAACCGTAGACTTAATGAAGATACACTTTATTTTGATGCTTGTTGAGGTGAGAAGAATAAAAAGATCAACGGTCTTGTCTCTCAAGCAGCTTGCACTACTAGAATCCTGGTTAGTTATGACACTTCTTTGGGGAGAATGGGCCTTTTCATCCCAAGGTTTGAGCCACACCATCTAAAATATCCCAAAGTTTAAAAACATGCCATTTTCATCCCAAACTTTTAAAAAATATGTAATATTAGGACATTTGTTAATTTTTTGAAGTTATTAACGGTAATATTTCATTCAGTTTCTTTTCCCCCATTTTTTTTAGTCAAAAAAGTTTCATGCTTGCATTTGGTAAATTTGGTCCATGCCAAGCAAAAAAGTTACATACCCCTACCTCAATTACAACACCAATTTTTATAATGATGCTACATATTTAAAAAAATAAATGAAATAGGGCTTACTCTCTAATTAGGACACACAAAAACTGTCATGATTGTTATCAATCTAGAAGGTGAATTTTGGATTTTTTTTTTTCTTTTTCTAAGCAAGGGAAGAATGGATGATGTGAAGACCAAATTAGGTTTAGCTATTTTCTTATAAGGTGGGAGTTAGTGGAATGTGTTAAATGATTAAAAGAATTGGGGGAGGAGAAACAGAATAAAGTACCACCACTAATTAATTAACTGGAGTTAAAAATTTAACGAATATCCTAATGTAACATGTTTTTAAAAAGTTTGGGATGTAAATGACATGTTCTTAAACTTTGTTTTGGATGGTGTGGCCTAAACTTTGGGATGAAAAGACCCATTTTTCCCAGTTGTCAAATTAAATTTTGAGGCACTATAATACCCATGTCATGTTAGGAGATCTTTTAAGGCATCAGGCTAATAAAACACTTAGTTTTCTTTTTCTAATTAAAAAAAATCCCTTAGCGGAGAAAAATGGATATTAGGCAAGGTAATCTATATTTTTAGTGCCTCAAACTTTCAATTGTATGCAACTTCTTAAACCAATTAAAGAAGATATTTAATTTATAATAATAGAATGCTATTTGGCTTTTTATAAATTGTCTTATTATCATTATTATTATTATTATTTATTATTACTATTATATAATCTGGAGTTGCACATTTTTCTTAAAAGGGTAAACTAAACAACACAATCTAGATTTTATTTTATTCTTATTATATACGCATAATAACAGCAAAACTGCATTAATAGAAAGAGTAATTTGCGTAAAAATAAAAAGTACAATAAGTTTTTATTCACCAAGACCTTAAAGAAAAAATATATTAAAACTTAGAACAGAGGCCAAAAAAAAAAAGAAAAAAGGGGAGGCACAAGAATCTGCCCAAAAAAAATAAAAATCTAACCGAGAAACTGGAGTGCCAAAAGAACATTAGAATTAAATTTCTTTTGGCTTAAAAAAAGGCAAAAAAATGTAGGAAATTTTATATTTTTGGATAGAAAGATTTGATTTGGATAAATAAAAGTGAATAGAGTAAAATTAAAAAAGTGATGTGCTAAAGTTAAAATTGGGTTCAATTGTAAAAAAATTAAAAAAAATCAAGGTAAAATTGATAAAATTAATTATTAAATTTTGGAGAAAATATGTAATTACCTTTTCTTAAAAATAATTAAAAAAACATATTTCGTCAGAATAATGGGCGGATCCGGCCAATAAGACTAATTTTGAACAAAAAAACTTTCAGAACTAATATGCGTGAAAAACATATATATATATATATTTATGTTTGACTAAAGTAAACCATGAGTGAAATACACAGTGATTTACGCATAAAATGAAGAGTTTGAGAGACATATTGTGTTGGATAAAAAAAACACGCATTGTAATCTCTTGTATCCCTATACTAGTGAAGTTTGAGTTGGTGCTGCAGACGTAGATCTGTTAAGGATCGAACCATGTAAATTCTATGCTTTACGAATGAAGAACACAATAGTTTCAAAGGCAAAATCCAAAAACCGGAAAGTAGTACTAGAATGACTTAAGAGAGCGAGGCCAATGTCAATAATGTGACGAATTTTGCGTTCAATAGTGCCATTCTGCTCATGTATGAGGGCACGATAAGCAATGAACAATACCTACATCCTTAAAGAACGAATTCAGAGAACGAAATTCACCACCCCAATCAAAGTTGACACTATAGTGTCAAATTGATTTTCTACGAGAGCTTTGAACTGCTTAAAAATATGGATAGCATCACTTTTATGCTTAATGGTATATATCCATGTGAATAAAGAAAAATCATCAATAAAAAGCACAAAGTAGCGATAGCCATTAAAGGACAAAATAGGTGCAGGACCCCAAACATCAGTATGGATTAAATCAAAAGGTTTAGAATTATGACGAAATGTAGAAGGTAAACTAACCCTATGCAACTTTCCTAGACAACACGTCTCACATTTATCAATAGACATGGACATAGAGGAATGAGGGAGTTGAAATTGCATAACCAAAGCACTAAGGGTGGCATTATTAGGGCGCCCTAAACGACATGCCATTGACATAAGGAAATGAGATAAGCTTTTAGAGATAAGGAACCACGAGCAGGGAGATTCAACCTATAGAAGCCATTATCAGCCCTACCTCAGAAGAGCAGTTCCTTGGTTGATAGATCCTTAACACAACAGGAGTCAGAATAAAATTCAAAGAAAAAGTGATTATCCCGTGTTAATTATTGAAAAGATAATAAAGGTTTAGTGAGATTAGGGGAATGCAGGACACGATTTAAATAAAGAGGACGAGAAGATGATGACAAAATAGATTGACCAACATGCTTAACAGGTAAAGCAGCACCATTACCAACTAAAATATGATCCATACCAGTATAATCATTGGCGATGCTGAGAGATGACAAATCTGGTGTCCCATGAGTGGTAGCACCAGTGTCAGGGCCATGGAGTAGGAGAAGGAGCATACTGGACCATATGTGCTTGAGGATGTGCACGTGCTGGTGCAGGAGGGAGACTAACAAAAGTAGTGATTTTGCGAGAAGGAAAATTGGAGTCAAAGCGGTGACAGCAGGTGAAGGCAGTGCGATTGGGAATATTGTGTAGTTGGCAGACCGATGTGCAAGGAGGGAAATTGAAATCAAAGCGGCGAGAGCATGTGAATGCAGTATGATTGGAAATATTACATAACTGACAAAGTGGTACCACTGTGCGAGTAGAGAAATTAGAATCAAAAGTAGATGAAGATGGATGATAAAAAAATAGTCTAGTTTGATAAAAAAATTTTGTCCCAAAAAAATAGTCTAGTTTGATAAAAAAATTTTGTCCCAAAAAAATAGTCCAGTTTCAAGAAAGTCAAAATTGAACCAAATAAAATGACATCGCTACCCTTTTAAAAAAGGGACTGGTGAAGTGTCCATGTTGGCGGAAAAGCTCCACTCCTATATATTCTTGCTTAAAATTCCCCGATTCAATCAGAACCTCAAACTTCAATTCGCAAGTGGTGTCGATGTTGACTGAAGAGCTCCACTCTGATTCACTTCAGAATCCCCGATTTGACGAGTGATAAATTAACCCTAACCCTAATAGGTTTGGGCCAGCTATCTTGGAGGTTAAGTCACCGCTTAAACCTAATATGGCTAGGTTTCAGGAAACAGGTAACACCACCTCTATATAAAGAGGTGGTGCCTCTCCCATAAGGGACATCTTTTACCTATCTTCTATACCTTCTACGCATGATACACGTCCCTCTCTCTCTGTTATCTCTACTCCCTTATTGACTTAAGCATCAGAGAGTCTACCCTCGGGAGACACCCGAGGCTCTGTCTTGTAGGTTTTAGGCCGTTCGCCGCCGCCTAGGTCATCATCGCCGTCCGTCCTAAGCACCGTATAAATCCAAGCTTCGTCAAGTGGCACGTCCAGTGAGACCGATTTGTTTGGTCCTTACAACCAAATAAATTTCTTGAAGCGAAGTTGAAATTTTTTGGTGCTTTACGCTGCGCAACATCAACATCATAATGGCGCAAGAAAAACAACAAACCCCAGCTACTGCCGCTGAAAAAGACAAGCAGGCACCTCTATCAGGGCCATCCTCTAACAGGCCGTCTGGTGGTTTGTTTGATCAAAACCTTATGAGGCCTTTTTCAAATTTCAACCCACCTTGTTCAACAAGTTCCAAGATTTTGTGAAGAGTTTTCACAAACTCGACAGCAACCATCGACAGCACTTGGTCGACAATCTGGGTACCTTCTTGAAAGAGGACAACCCTGGGGGCATCTCTCGAGGACATCACCTTGTAACTCAAGAAGAAACTTATCTCCCTCGAGTGAATGTACCTTCATCTGAGTACCGTCCACCATCGAGGAGCAATTACGCAAGGTTCTCGGATCTGAAGGAGACACGGAGGAAGACGACAGTCCATTCATCCAACGCATCCGAGAAACACCCATGCCCGAGAAGTTTGAACTTCTGGATTTGAAGGCTTACGGAGGAGATACCGATCCTATGGTATTTCTGCAAATTTATAAGAATGCAATGAGATTGAGGAATGCTCCTAATGATTTCATGTGCAAGGCATTTCCTACTTATCTCACGGGGCAAGCACAACTTTGGTTTGGAACACTGACTCCGAGGAGTATTCGGTCGTTT